TGTTTGGCATTAAAGAGGTTCGCACCATGGACATCAGTTGCGACGATTTGGAGTGGCAAGACTATGCACCTCTTGGAAAAGGAGCATTTGCTGCTGTTTATCGAGGGAAATTGAAGATGCGAGGAAAGGATAAACCTGTAGATGTTGCTGTGAAAGTGTGGAACGAGGAGCTAAACGAAGATACTGCTAGTGGCATTCTTTCTGAAGCAGAGATACTCAGGTTGGTTTTATTATTTTATGGATCTTGAAATGTTATATTGTTTATGAAAGAAGGCCCAACCTACCTAAAACCTTGGGGAAGCACTAAATATATTCTGGCCGGTAGCCAATGAGATAATTTCTTAATCGTAAAATTCTTTTCTGTCCATGGATCTCATCGTAATAAGGGGATTTCTTTTAATTACAGGATATTTTTTTGACGCTTTCAGAACACCCAGAATCTAGGCACAGAATTTAAGGCACATCGGGATATTAATTAGAAAAACCTTTACGGGGAGACATATCACCATTCATTTTCCCAACAATTCATCACCCTTACAACTCTTAAGTTGGACTAGTGTCTAATTGCTCCGTACATCACCGCTGAATCAAGCATAAGGTCATGAAAATAAGGGAAGTGATCACCAACAGCAGAACTCTTGATTGATAATCAAAATTTTCTTGTCAGTATTAGAAAATGTTTGGATGACAGCATAGAGAATAAGCATACTGTTTTATGATTGTAAGTTGTTTTACGGTTTTTTTTTTATGTAGGAAACTGAATTATCCCTTTATTGTAAAGTTCTATGGTACAGCACTGCGCAAGGAAGGGGAGCGGCTGAAAGCAATACTGGTGATGGAGCTCTGCAAGGAAAACCTGATGAGGCACATTTTTCGGCATGAAGGTAATATACCTGGAAAATCATCAACTGCTACAGCTGCGAGAGATGTGATCGGATGGGCAAAAGATATCGCCAATGCTTTGGAATACATTCACAGACAAGGTATCGTTCACAGAGATCTCAAGCTGGAAAATATATTGGTGAGTTAAAAATTGGGACTAATGGTTATCGTGACTATTTATAATTATAATCATCTTCTTCCTTCTAGACTCATCTCGCACTTCATCGAATTCTAATTCGCTCGCTTTCACCCAGTTTTCCTGCTTTCTACGTGGGATACCTGTGGCAGACCACGCTATAAATTGGCTTAAGCGTCGTTGTAGTCAGATGTAGAAATTACCCGCGTGGTTCTGCTTCTCAATGAAATTGGCTGGGGTTGGATGGGCGACCGTACATGATATCCTGTTTTTTATCTAGTTTTCGATTTAATTCCTGTACATTGAAGGATCAGCATTAAATTCATTGTTTTCCACGTAAAACCAGTGTGAATGAAGATAACGACTAACGTATCCCAAGTTAACACCTCCAGGCGTCTCGTTTTCACTATGTCTTACCTTCTTTTAAGAGGTCTCGTCTGTTTCGGGTTCCATTTCGAGAAACCTTCAATATTGTAATCCCTCGGTTTCTACAGGACAATTTTTCTTAATGGAAATCACAAGCGGTTAAAATGTTTATCGTTTTATCGAAAACTAACATAAACAAAACTGACTCAACTTAGAGGGGTTAAAACTTTGTATTAAAACTGGTTATGATGCGTTTCAAAGATATTTTGAAAATAGCGACAGATTTAAAAAAAAAATTTTAATAACAGCGCCTGATTCATCTCTATTCGGCCTTTCCTGACGACTACCCTTTTTTAATATGACTTAATTTTTTTAACAGCTGAATTTTTTTTACTTTGGTACTAGAAATATATCAATTTCCATAGAATTTATCTAATTTTCCCACAGCTGTCGCAAGAAAATATTGTCAAAGTAGCCGATGTCGGTGTTTCTAAAGAGGCCAAAGCGATCACGGGTACCATGGTGGGAACTCCTTTGTATCTCGCTCCTGAAGTGATCAAGTCCCGTTTGTACGATTACAAAGCAGACATCTACAGCTTCGGTATAATGCTCTGGGAGATGTGGTATGGTATCAGAGCCCTTCTTGACGTGGGAGGAAATGTGCAGGAGTTTTTTGAAAAAGTTGGTGAGGGTGTAAGACCTAAACATGTCCGAGGCTCAAAAAAGCCTCCACCTTGTTGGCACGATCTGATGCAGCGTTGCTGGGACGAAAAACCTGATAACCGACCAGATGCGAGCGAGTGTTACGAGAAGTTGGCTGAGCTCTATCAGGAATTTGGCGCACCATCCTCATAAACACTGGTTATTAGGCAACCACCTTGAACGTATTTACTATTCAAGTGGAGACTGTTTTGGAGCAATAGTGATTCAGAGTGTTTTAAGATATCCCATATGACTGTTATAAAAATTAGGTTAGCCTCACCCGCGCCAATTTTCTCTTGGTTCGTACATCATAGAAACTTATTCTGGTCTTAATCAGTGCTGATGCTAAGGACTTCTATCGAGATCAGTGTCATTTTGGGTGATTCAGGAAAGGCTTAATTAAGCGCACAGGTGTAGGTGGCTCCTTTGGTGCTCGTCTGTCAGATGATCTTTTGTTAAGGTACAGGGTTGTCAGCCCACTGCCCTTCCCTAAACCTAAAAGTGGCTTCGTTAGGGATGAAAATTAAAGCAAGAAGTGTATGAAATACATAGATACTTACGCAGTGAGTTGACGGAATGTAGGAGTGGTGTATGGTAGGTCTCTAAGTCTCTGCATGATGATTGTTGTAATATGTATACTATTCTTATGTCCTGGTATCAAGACCTTGCAAGAAAGAGAGAGAGAGAGAAAGAGATAGGCGACCGTTCTCTTATATTAAAAAGGCACAGTCCAGTCATATTGTCATAGTATCGTTAACTGGAACACACATACAACAGTTTCAATGATTTGGTAGATTTCTTTTAATAAGAGTTGGTTACCATGTGTATCAATCTCTTTACAACTTATTTTTTTGGGGCGTTTGTCAAATAGTTGACTTGTTACTATTTTGAACGAAGAACAACAAGAATATTCTAAAGGCAAATGTTGTTCTTTCAGCTTGTATGAAAGTTTTTTGCCGGATTTTAGAGTTAGTTTTACCATCTGGTTAAGACACTTGTGATCGTTTACTTCTAGAAGATTTCGTAGAGAGCATTCTGCTTTTTTAAATATTAAGACTAAACATAATGCTGGAAGGTCAGATATCACATATCTACGTCTAAAGAAATCACAGAGATGGAGTTGTAAGCACAATCAAAGTGCTCTGTGACCTTGTGTGAAAAGTGAAATTTACTGTCTATCTTTGTAAATATTGGAAAATCAAGGCAATACTGTCTTAATGAAAACATTAAGGATCCCCTCTTTATCAAATGAGACAAACGGGAACGAGTTTTGATATAACTAAGCCTATACTGCCACCGTCATTTTGGATTTCCGCCTGGGTAGATTTTGGTCACGTGCTAAGCAACGCGTAATCAAGAATAAGATAGAATCTCATTTCAGGCCTATTTATCAATTTTTTGGAGTATAACTTTTGCATTTCAAATTTTCTTGAACCTTGAAAGAAAATTGTTCTTTAAAAATTCACTGAAAATCGGTAGCCAAAATTATTTGTTTAAGTGTTATTTGATTTTCGTGTTAACCTGTAATTTCGTCAGTCGCCGGCACCTTTTGTTTCTTCACACAGAAAAAAGACACGATACGGAATGTAATGATCGATTTTGTCTCCAATCTCACGCCATAACAGAAAAAGCTTATGAACACCTGTAAAATCCGAGCGCTTCGGAGTAATTGATATTTTTAATGAATCTTCGGGTTGTTTTCAAGTTCAAGGATTGTAAATTACAATTTTATGAAAAGCGAAGGTTGTTCTCTTATTTCAGTGTGAATCCTCGCACGCCTGACAGTCGCTGGCACCGCTTGTTGAAACCAAAGCGAAAAAAAAATTAAACTCTTTTAAGATTATCATTGGCTTCTTTTTCACCCCACCACTATTCTTAGCAACAAAGGTCGCCATTTCGTTTGTTTATTACTCGCCAAAAACTATCAAATGCACTCAAAAGCCTAAAATTGAAAAAACGTTTACAGGAAGCGACCAATCGAGCGAGTGAGGGAGTGCCATTCTCCACATCATATCTACAACTCACTCTTACGCATGCGCGCAATTCACTAGTTAAAAGGGTCAAATGACGTGAAAAGAAGTTCCCTTGGAAGGTATTTCAATACTGAGTAGCGTACATTTTCATGACGGAATTGTGTGATAAAACTTGGGAAGAGAAAACAAAGTCCCATAAATATAGTGTCTAATAAAGCTTTTTCACCACCGGTCGCTGGTCCTGTTGTCGGTGGTCTGTCGCTTTAGTGTCAGCCAGCTGCCGACAGTTGACAGACTTTCGGTGGAGGGGAGCTGTTCTTCACAATTACCTAATTTTTTGGAGAACCACACAACACGATGATGTCTACGAGGCGTTCCTTTCCACGTGTAAACCCCATGTGAAATAATTTGCTACTGTCTGAAATGGACAAAAAAATTTAACTCTAGAAATTTTTTAATTTTGTAAAATGAGAAAAAGGCTTCGTTTCTATTTTTTACTTGTAATTCATCTTGATTTAAACCCACCCACTGAAATAGTTGGGGAAATTTCACTTCCATATTTATTTGACTTTCTTTACTCACTGCATCTTGATTTAACAACTCCGTAAGCCCCTTTCACTTCCTACAGTCCTGCAAGCGCTTTCAGATTACTGCGATTTCATAGCAATCAGCGATCAACCAATCTCGATATTTTAAAGAGTCCCGCTTTTAAATTTTGTATACTTCTTCTACTTCTACTCTATTGCTCCTCAACTTCGATCCTCTTTGCATGATTTAGCAAAGGGTGAAGGTAGGTATATGATGATAAATGATTTGATATCCATAAAACTCATCATGCAGACTTGATACTAACTTTGTGATATAAACACTACGTGAAAAACGTTACAATAAACAATATTTTAGCTCTGAACCTAGTGAGATTCTCTTCAAATTATCAGAGTTCAAATTGGTGGAAATGTGTCCTGGTAGAGCATGGTCAACCTTTGACGACATGCTGTGGCATCTGGTCGTTTGTCTGCTTCTTCATCCAAGCAACCTTGCATTACATCTTGCAATGTAGGCGGAGGTTTCTTCCTGTCTTGGTCGACTTGCGTTGGTCTATTACGTTCAGCATCCTCACCATAAACCGCTCTCACGTCTCCCTCTACATCTGTAAGGGCTCTTTTTCCATACCACATCTCCCAGAGCATTATGCCGAAGCTGTAGATATCGGCCTTGCTATCATAAAACCCTGATTTGATCACTTCTGGGGCAATGTAAAAAGTTTCCTTCATTGTTCCTGTAGTCATCCGTGTGCATTATCTGTGCATTATGTGCATTATCTGTGAGATAATGCACATAACAAAAGACAGAAGTAGGCTTACTAGACAGCTACATGTGTTTCTCTTTTCTGCTAAGCCTGCGGTGGTTCTCGTCAAATGCAGTATAAATGTAATCGCAGAGTTAGTGAATGTTTGGGCTGTTTTTTTTATCATATGCCACTGAAATATGATATGATCCGTGTGCCATTTTTCGTACTTACCATGATGTTTTCCAACTTGAAATCTCTGTGAACAATGCCCTGACTGTGTATAAACTTGAGAGCATTGGCGATGTCTCTCGCCCATCGAATTACACTTCTCGCGGCACCAGGTGTTAAGGACAGACTAGGTATATTGTCCCGATTCTGGAAAATGCGTTCCATCAAGTTTTCTTTGCAAAGTTCCATCACAAGAGTTACTCTCAACCGTTCTTCTTCTCTAATCAGTGCAGCACCATAGAAATTTACGATGAATGGATAATTCAGCTTCCTAGAAAAAATTTAGATTCATGAATTACCTTTAGCCCAATGTCTTTGAGACAATACCACTCTTTCTTTCATCGGTTAATTGTTGCCAAGCTATGATTTCATTTTGTTGTTAAATGTTTTCATTTTGTTTCATTGTTTAAATTTCTTCTTGTAACAAATGTAAACTATCAAAAAAGTAAAGCCTTGGGTCCAAAAAATTACCTACAAAACAAAATAAAAAAGTTACAAAGACAATTGAAACAAGGGAATAAACAAAGGGCTAGAAAAGGATAACAAACCAGCGCAAAAGACATGAAATCTAAAAATGAATTAAGGAAACCAACCTCAGTGTCTCTCTTTCGGAAAGAAAGTCACTTGCATCAAAATTTTCCAGTTCACTATTCCACACTTTCACAGCCACTTCGACGGATTCATCTTTTCTTCGCATTTTTAATGTCCCTCGATGGACAGTGGTAAATGCGTCCCTCCCGAGAGGTGAAATTTTATCGGCTCTCAATTCTAGATCGTCGCAACTGATGTCCATGATGGATACTTCCTGAATGCCAAAAACGGCCATTTTTCTCCTCAATTGTAAACTTCTCTCATGTATCGGTCTGTAAATATCTAGTTCTTTCTGTGAGCTGCTGTCATTTGTAAGTTTCTGGCACAATATTCTGTCAGCCTTTATGAGCTCGGGAATGCGATTTACAACCTGCTCGAGACAGACTCGAGCCTCCTTAAGCTGTTCGACCACTAAAGACTTCAGGTTCTGTTTTTTAGCCGCTTCAAGTAGGTATTCTAAAGACGCTTTTGCCATGAAGCCACATTTGTCGTTTTCGTACTTTCTTATTTTATTCCAATTTCCTAACTTTTCTTTCATAGCTACAACCCCAACTACTGTTACGCTGAGAACGAAGGCAACCACGCCAATTGGAACCCAAATAGGACTTGTGACCCCGATTACTACTTTGCTAGCCACAGAAAATTTCTCAGAAGGCAGGCAGTCATTTGCTAGAGCAGGCACGTCTTCTGCTATGACGAAGCTCTCCAGGTTTTCAAGTTGTTCCACGACATAGCTGTATCGCTGTTGAAAGTGCTGGATTAGAGAGCCACGAGCGCCGGAAAAGACTTGTTCACGTTCCTCCCATTCTGCAATAAATTCTTGAAGTCGCTTCGTTAATGCTTCTTGGATGTAAATTTTGGTCACTTCCCATTTCCCCATCGCCCGTGGAGTATCGTCCAACGTCCACGAAGTGAATTTTTGCACAACATCTGAAGACGTGAGGTACTTGGACAGTGAGGTGACAGCGCTTTCTGTTTGGTTTTCGAGGTACTCCTGTAGCTCCCTACCAACTGAATTCTCCTTCTCCTCAATGCCACGGAGGCGTTCATTTATCAAAATCATTCTGTCGAAGACTTCCTGACGATCTTTGGACGAATTATTAATAAACGCTTTCGTGTGAAACACCATGCGTGAAAGAAGGTGATAAAGCCACCTAAAAATATAATGTAGATTATTTCACTTTATTATTTACTAAAAAAATGGATATAACTTTGAAGGAACCCTTTGATCGGCTACCCAAACTCGGAATATACTTTGCTATTCACCTCCGAGCTTCTCAGGAGTCTCGCACTCCCGAAAATATTGAAATCGTTGCAAGAATAAACGAGTTAAAATCATCTTGTTGTGCCATACTGTCTTATGCTCACTTATCGCGGCTTGGAAAACATCCACCATCTGCCACCTCCACCTAGGTAATGGTAGTTAGTTAGTTTTACTTATTAATCAGTACACTGCATTTAGGACGTACCAAGAGAGTTGAAAATGACACTTGCGCTTTTTATTGTGTCTCGTAAGGACTCAAGAACACTTACCTCCATTGGACGAACAGTCTTTCTTTGACGCTTTTCAAGACCATGGACTTGATTCCATTCATCAATGCAGCGAACTCCTCTGAGATTATTCCAAGAGTTTGGGCTTCTCTGGCAGTGGTGGAGGACATGTAAATGATCTGAGATTCAGGGTCTACGTTAGGCCAGCAGCGTTTAAGTTTTCTGACGATGTGATCCTTAACCTCATCAGTTTCTTCTGATGGCACTTGGTCCCACTTGTTACAAACGAACAGAGCACAAGCTGATAAAGTTTCTCTAAAGTGTTCAAGAGACACCTGTCTGGCGTGCTCGATTAGCTTTTCCAGATACGAAATAAAGTAAAATAGAAGAATTTCTTGAGAAAAAAGGAAAAGAGAACGCCTTTGTAGGTCCTCTCTGCGTGACTCTCTTAAACAAAAAATCTTCAGTGGAGTATTGTCAACAGAAGAATGGAAATCTATCAAATTTATCACCATGATGGTTCGGTTATATATCAATTGATATCCTCCACGCACAAGAAGGTCGGAGATGACGCCAAAATAGGAAGAGTAAAGCGAGAGGAACGCGAAAGAGAACAAGAAAAGGCATAAGTAAAAAGTCGAATATCTAGCGGAGAACAACGCGAGAGGGAAAAACAAAGACGCTCCAGAAAACAGACTGAAAAGCGGTCATCAACAAAGAGAAGCGAACCACAAAGGATCCATGAAAGAAGAGAGGATAAGTCGTGTCTTATCTGGGTTTTCTCTTACGCTAAGGCCCGGAAAAATTCAAACCTTTTCTTAACAATCGTCGTTTTAGATATAATTCAAAGCACATTTTGGTAAAACAATGACTTTAACATTCATCGCTTAAAAACCCTCGCGCCGGTTCATCGCTCGAATAACAATTCAAACTGTTTATATTATTTAAGTTATTTCTTGTCCTATCGTTTGGAACGTTTATTACAGTCGTGGTGTCAAGGGAAAATAATACATCTTACGGATTTTGTTTTGCCTAGAAAGTTTTCAAATGACAGCGAACGGCATGAGAAAGTTTCTACCTCTTTTTCTCTTCAGTCAACCATAGCAGGATCTACTCTATTCATTTCAAAAAATCGCGCTTTGTCGAAGATGTGTTGTTTTACCCTTAGGACGAAGTGATGACCTTTCCCAAAATTGAAATCAAATGAGATTGAATCAGCGATTTTCATGTTTACATTAAGTCTGACGCGGTAATTTGATTTTGACAATATTGTCAAGTGAGAACCCCTCAAACATCGGGCCGCAAATGTGTGGTACAAACAAACTCACAGGTAAAATGGAGTTAGTCTTACTGCGGGATAAGTGAATTCCATTATTTGGTTACGGTACTTTTCAGCGCTATGTTTTCATGCTTTCTACTCGATTCGTTTGAACTTCAGGAAATAGTCTCAATTGCCTCACAAAACATGGAGCCACTTTCTCTTCGCTCTACATTGCGAGGCGGACTTACTGATGCTCGGGTTGTGATGAACATGCTTGCGATACGATAGTTCTTTTCCTTATGCTGGAAACTAATGAACCAATCTCTGAAATTGATGGTCATCACATTTTGCAGGAAGCGTCCGAGCTCAGTGATCGGGTTCCTGGCAATTTGAGCTCACAAGCACGCTGGTAAGCACATGTTTAGCGTAAATAATTGTTGTTTACACTTTTCGATTTCTGTAACCTTCTTGGATATTTTCTGTTGAATTGATTGAGTGATAATCTCGGAATTTCATAGGTGATTACGAACGATAAATTCGTATCGGCACCATAATTTCGGGAAGTTTTGTTAACACATTGTCTGTTTACAATTCGCGAACCATTTCTGTAACCTGGATGGATATTTTCTTTTGAATTAATTGAGTCACACCCTTGGAATTTCATCAGTAATAAGGAACGTTAAATTAGGAACGTTAAAACCAAAGCAACAAATGAGGCACATACAGGAAACTATACATGATTGACTCTCAACAAATTGGCCTGGCATAACTTATTGATTATTTTATTATTTTGTGGCCCCAAAAGTCCGGCTTATGAGTCTGATGGTACTAAACTTGATATATTTGATACACAAGGCACCTTTCAAGGAGGAAGGTTAGAATAATATTGCTTTTATGACTATATATTGCCCCAGGTTTACATATGTGGGTAATATGCTTCTGCTTTATTTTGTTGTAAGGGGTTTCTTTTTATGTAACATATATCTATTCTTTAATTTCCTCCCAAACCTGCTTGCAAATAATCAAATTTTATGTATGAGAAGATAAAAAAAAGTGTTGCAGAGCTCTTTTTCCAGACTGAATTCAGGTGAGAACATCAATAAACTAGTTGATGTCATATACTTCCTCTGAATCTTTAATTTTTTGCCCTGGTTTTTTTCACAAAGCCTCTTCTATATCACTGTGCCAGCTAATCATTAAAATCTCAGTGAATAGATATGCCATATTTTAATAGTTTTTTTTAAATTCCTCTTTAAGTTTCTGGCATCTACTATTTTAAAATTTATAACTGGCATTCCCTTTTCATCTTTGGAAGGATGTAATACCCATTTCTTTAACCCTTTAACTCCCAAGATCTCATTAATAATTCTCTGTATTGTCTGCCTTTGAATTCACGTGATGTTAGTTTGGAGAATTTTGAATTGGATCAACCAACAATCCCTTAATTGATATTTTTCTTTATTCTCATTACTTGTCTGCTTGATATCGTACTGATGTGTAAGCTAGGAGAAATTTTGTCTTGGTCACTGGTAGGACTTCAAGGGTTAAAACGGGGGATTTTATTACACTGCATGTAACGATTAAAGTATTTTTATGCTTTCAAATTTAAAAAAAAATGTGATGAGAATCTGCATGTTATGAAACACTTACAATGGAAAAACCTGTTGCTGGTCGCTTAATATGTCTTTAATGTTTAAATTTTCATGGGAAATCCTTTTCTTTGAAAGCGGGGATACAGAGGTTTTTAAAGCTGTTAGAAATAAGCTGTTTTCAAGTAATGAAAAGCAAATTGACAATCATACCATAATGCTTGACATGCTTCACTCATACTTGTCAGTTGTGTGTACCTTACTGTTTATCTACTCACTAAAAGGAGACTTGAACACACAAGCTAAAAGAAACTCATTTCATCAGGTAGAAACACTTCGGGGATAGGGGTGGTAAAAACGAGGTTTGGGACCGAATAACGATGCTCTCACGACTTGCAAAGTGACCAATTCGCATCTCAGTCAGTGGTTATTCGACTGTGCGACAACAGGTCAACTTTTCCCGCGAAATTTGACAACAAACTTACATAGTGTCTCAAGTATTGAATATTAGGGAGCTTAAGCAACCACGACAGTGATGCGAGGAGAAAGTCGATTGAAAATTGATTGATATTTTTCTCAAGAATTTCACTGGCTAGATGGATTCTGTTTCTAAAGGGGTACTTCCTTCCAGCTTACCATAATATTTTACAAAAAACCATTAATACTGCCTCAAAGAGCTATCCTTCTACTCATGTTCTATATGGAATACTTCGCTGAAATAAAAAGTTTTGGTCATGAGCGAGCGGAAAGTTGTAGTGTACTTCCGGAATACTTTTGAGAAATAAATTTACTGTAAATTGAAAGGCCAATATCTCCCATGTTATGTCGATTGACAGTGAACTATTTAACTTGGATGTAGAGCTCTTATAGCAGGTTCGACAGGAGAAGTAAAAAAATGGGCAACTTCTTACCACGAGAGGAAAAAATTATACAAGTTGCTTAGGTTTGACCTTTGTACGACTATTAACCGCTTCTAGCACGAACAATAGCAAAGGAAAACATTTTAAGTTATCGTTAATAATCGTGGCAATGTTAGCATTTTTTGCTTCTAAACAGCCATTTACTGACTTTACTTCTTTATTTATACTTGCAATATCGTTTTAACGATTTACCGAAAAGGATCTGCTTTCGCTAATGTAAATAAACAAACCCTCTTAGTCACAAAGGAACCGCGCTCTTGTAGGGATACATCACGCACAATACGCGACTTTGCTAATACTGGGGTTTAGCCGAGCATGTGCCAGGTCGCTCAAGGCGCACGTTGTTTCGTGCAGCCTCGATGTTTGTTGTTGTTTTAGGAGATGCAGAGCCAAAAAAAGGTTGCTGGTGACTATAAAATATACATGGTGTGCCTACTTGTCGCCACCGCTTACTGGCATAAATAACTGAAAACAAAATCTAACATAACACTCCTATCTTGTTTATTTATGATTCTATTAGCTGTTTCGATTTTTATATTACGCCTGGGTGTTACTTTTTGACACGAGCTCAGGTTTTGGGTTGTGTTTCCCCACCCCCATTTATGTCATTAGCTGGTCACGCAACAATTGATACCGACAAAAATTAAAATTTACCCTTTATAAAGATTTTTTATGTTGAATTGAAAATATTAGAATATATGCTTTTTGTGGTCACTAATCGTTGTTTCTGTGGCAGCGAAGCAGTTAAAAGCGGGTTGTTGCTTCAACGCTATTGAGATCTATCGTATTCAGACAGGATAGCAAATCATGATGCTCTGGGAAAAAATTTTTTTAGGGACCTTTTACATGATATCGGAATAAGTGTTGTTCAAGAACGAGTTCGTACCGGTTGCCACATGGCACCAGAGTAAAATTTATTTGAAATTAGTCATTTCTGAATGAGTTTATCGGGGTTTTCATTCCAAAACGAAACACCCATTCTGGACGACCTTTTGTACCTGTATAATGTAAACGTGGTAGGACTCTTATATTTGTATGAATCCTCTTACGAGCGAAGGAAGCATAGAAAAAGACAGAGAAGAACATAAGTAATTATTTTTACAGGCTAAATTATCTTGCATGTAAACGCGGTATGAAATTCATTTCGTTCCGGAACGAAACTCATTTCGGAGATATGTAAAAGGTTGGGGGCGACTGGGCAAATCACCTTTTTTTTAATGGGGGGCAAATCTTTGTCTTTAAGTGCTGACCGGTGGGAAGAAGGCGATTGGAAATGGGTGAGGAAGCTTGTCGTACCTTTTAGGGGTCAAAATCAGCGATCTGGTACCTTTATGAACATTTTGCATGTAAAATCAATAAAACTTATTCAAATACTGTGTGTCCGTTGAAGTTTCGGCGATTTGTGCCGTTTTAAGCTTGCTTTACCATCACTGTTATTAATGTCAAAAGGCGAAGTCAAGGCTGCACACTCCGATTTTGACCGTTGTCCACGCGCAGGTGGTTTGCACACCAAAAATCCTGATCGGCACCTCGCCTTAATCTATTGTCTTGATCAGATTCCGGATTCCTACGTCAAACTTGCGAAAAGCTACGATACCTTAATATTGATCTTAGGTTCGTACTTGAAAATTTGTTCTCTTTTAATATAAGCTTTTCACCATGATTTTAAAAGAAATACTCCATCCCCAAAGTTCCCAAAATGAAATCTTAAGATATTTATCTTTAAACTTTGCCACTCTTAGCTTTTCTATGATTCGCTTCGTGGTCAATTTCACTGCATCTCTTCTTCTTCGATAGCATTTTAGCGAAAATAATCCAAGCTTAAGTGCTCACAGCAAACTCCGCAGACTATTCAAATTTTGTCCGTTGTTTATCTGTGTAAGTTTCACCTCGCTGTCTTATTGGTTGATCAGGACAATAGATTAAGGCGAGGTGTCTCTGTGGAGATGGGGTAAGTATTGTACATTGACCGACTACTCGCGATAGAGAGAAAATTGACTCTGTACCCAAGTTTCTTCCACATAGCCAGAAAGAAGTGAACTCGGAAATTCAGGTAGAAAACGCTTGTTTCCAGCGAAATGCACGGGGAGTTTTGGTATTGACACATGTTCCAGGGTGCAATGATCTTAGATCGTAAAATGTGGCTGAGAAAAATGCCGATCGGGAGGATCATTATGCGGATTTTGGGGATGAAATGTTACGATTTGCTGTATTTATGAAACTTTTCTCGAGATCACTTACGTCTTGCCGAGATCGACCGTTGCAAATTACAAACAATTTGTCAGAGTTGAACCAGCGTATTAAATATCTGACGTCACGCGACCCAAAGGGTTGTCTACTTGTGGTAAGTCAAATTTCGTATTTCATTAGTTAGAGTTGCTAAGATTAAGACATTTGGCCTAAAGACACCTACGTTATATGCAGTTACAGCAGAGGCTGCCGAATTGAATAACAAAAAAATTCTCAAAAAGACGCCGTGTTTTTCCAGCCAGAGGACAATCATGAAACGAGAATGAGAGAAAAAGTTTAAATTAAAAAAACTTGCAGGTTCAAACACGATTGGAAAATTACTTTCCTTTTTAATTTTCTATGCTAAACAGAGGAGGTTGCAACGTTAGGGAAAAACTGTGGGGCAAGTAGTCATACCTGGTGACTTTAAGAGAAGATATAAGAGAAGCCATACGATTCTGGTGGTTGTTTGACTGACTCACTGTTCTCACGCGTATACTCTTCAAACGAGCGATGATGTCTTAAAACGCGAAGTAGTTTACTGATATCACTTTCTAAATTATCCCTAGCAATAATTACCCAAGACCTCGGTCATCAGTATCTGCGGTGGGTAATCTTCTGCTTTTGTTGTACAACTGCTGATATGGTGAGAATTCTAGAAGTCCTTGCATGGTTAGTAACTTAAGTCGGAGTATGTTTATGACGTCAAAGATATAATTATCGACTTCTTGATACAAAATCTTCGCAACTTCTTCATCAAGAACATTTTGACGCTTTCTCAATCCAACTCCAAAAGTTGTCCTTAAAATGAAAATTATGATAATATATCGCACCCTAAGTAATCGATATAACTTGATAATTGTGTACATGAAAAAAATTTTAGATAGCTTTTCACAATTATTCAGCCGCAAAGGGCACGAATAACGTGCAAAAAATAGTTCATTTAAACCCTACAGATCTCATTGTGCGTTTCTTAAAAACAACCGCGTTCAATCAAACAACAATATTAAAAATGCTTTTAAGGTCGTTTGCATGCTGTTCAAAGCCAACTTTTAGGTGTTTTATTTTCTTTTGCTCTAATTACCTCTTTTATTCTCTGAGTTTACTCTCCTCTTTATTGTGCTACTTAAGAATTGCATTTTTCTAAGCTATTCAGAGTGAAAAGACCTCTTCGTTGTTCACAATTATCAACAATTAAAGCGAAATTGGTAACTTGAACCAAATGCACCATGGAAAACAGCTGTTTAGTTAATTGCGGCGTCACGACATATCAGCAAGCTACCTTTGACACCTTTGATAAAGTTATATCCATTTGTTGATCGGTTAATTCAAAGGTTTTAATCAACGTGCGCTGGTTTAAGAGTTGTAGGTCAATGCAGTGATTTCTTCAGAAGTAGTCACGGAAGAGAAAGCTGATACGAGGTGGTTCAAAGAACCATCAAAGAATCCATATTATAGATAAGACAACTTTTTAACTAAAAAGATATAGGCATCAAGAGGCAATCAATGGAAAACTCTACAAAGTGTTTTAAACTTTAAACTTGGAGTAACATTCCTGAATCGAGCGGCAGCTTCATTTCATCAACAGCTCAGTTCATAAATAATTCTGTTTGAAGCAGCCTTTAATTTTATCTAAGGTTTATTTCCTGATCCGTGACACTTAGATGAATTAACCTCGCATTGCTTATCGTCCTCGCCTCTCTTGCTGTCCAACTGGATTTTTTTCGGCAATATTGTAAGTTTCTGTTTCACCGCGCTTTTCATTTCGTCTAATGTTTTCAAGCCTTTATGCGAAACTCCCAAACGCGCCATTGTTTGAACCATAACTACGATGTCGTCGATCTCGTCTACAGCTGTTGCTGACAGATCCATCTCGCATATGCAAAGAAATAACTGTTTTGAGAGCTGTAGAAAAGTAAGATTCAATCAATCCATATCAATACTACGGTGTGAGTTCTTTGAAATGGATTTGTTTCTAGTCAATGAACAGTCTCGAAGTTTCAACGATAACAACCGCCTCTACTCAACCGTGAAAACCTAAATCCGAGATAAAGCAGTAGCGTAAATATAAAACCCCGTATGTGATAAACAGCCCAACAGAACGTTACCTAGAAGGTGCATAGTTACGTCCTTCTCTCTTTTCTTGAAACTGTTTATTGTTCAAGACATCCTAAAGAGCGTACGCAACATGAGTGCGTCGATAGACATTGATGAAATCGACGATATTGGGCGAATGTCTGAGCTAATGAAGTCTCGAGGTATATCGACAGAAGGGCTGCAGACATTAGACCAGATGAAACAGAGGGCAAAAAAGGCACTCAGAATATCAGAGGAGGTAAGGATGTAAATATATACGGCTGTGTATCGATTCAAACCCAGGGTACACTGACATTGCCATGCTGCTGCAAAATTATTAAGAAATGAACTTAAATACCGGGCCTATGGTAATAAGAATCGGTGAAGTTATCGCCCGAAATTATCAATCAACTGTCATGCGGCCGGCCGTACGTTACAGCAATCTAAAGCGAAACCAATAGACACCAATAATTTTATTAGTTGTCGAATGGTTGTCAAACCAAACATTCTCCAGATTTATAGCTTATTAATTAAACTACTAAAGCTCTTTGTTTAACGTTTATGATTTCGTTATTTCAAGCGTAAATCACTCAACGAAATCACCTAGAAGGGTGGAACTTGATAATCCGCTTAGCACGGTTCAATGGACTCCCAAAATTGTATTCAAAGCGAATATGTTTAGAATGTCAGGCGTACATATTGTTTCTCCTCCCTCGCCAAATTTGTAAAGAAGAACTTCTTTAACGAGTGCCGGTTGGACTTGGGCTCAAACTCCGATTTAGAGCTATGATGATAGGCTGTTGACAAATTTATCAGGACTCTCATCCGACGTTATTTACCGCTTTATATTGGCACTAACCGCCCTTCTCTTACAAGTAAATTCCTTTAATAGTTTCTGCTTCTTTGATAGAGGGAACCTCACCGTTTTTCTGGGTGGAGGATGGGTGGGAGATAACCCATCGATATTTTCACTTACACCGATATGTGATCTTGCGTGATAAAGGAAGGGGGGGGGGAATTTACGAGGTCTGGAACGCGGGAACAATGTTCTCACAACTTGCAAAGCGATTAATACGCATGCTAGTCAGCGGTATCTTTAAACAGCTTAGGACCGTTGTTGTTCCTGATGTTTTAAGCAAATTTTCGAAGATAGGAAATGTTTTCTTTAGATGGATTGTATGATGTCAGCGTCAGTTGAAATTATATTCTATTGAGCGCGACTTATAATTCCGGATTAGGAAAATGAGCGAAAATTGAAGGAAACGACGGTAAATTACTTCGTGTTAAGACATCACTGGTCGATTTAAGTGTGTACACGTGAGCAACAACAACCAGAATCGTATGGGCCGTTCTCTTATATCTTCTCTTGAAGTTGCCAGGTATGATTGCTTGCCCACCGTTTTTCCCTAATCTTTCAACCTCCTCTGATAAGCGTAGGAAATTCAAAAGAAAGGCAATTTTCAACTCGCGTTTGAACCTGTAATTTTTTAAAACTTTTTCAATTTGGCCATTCTTGTGTCATGATTGTCCTCTGGGTGGAAATACACGACGTCTATTATTTCATTCGGTAACCTATGCTGCAACTGCATATAATGTGGATGTCTTCAAGAGAACTTGAGATAATACCTGGATTTCATTTCCACATCATATTTATAAATTCCAAACATCAATCAAGTTTTCTCTTTAGTTTAAAAGTTGAGTTGATGTTGTTATTTGCTATATTAAATAGGTTCAAAACCTTTAGATGGTATTTTCTCATGTTTGCTATTAATTGAATTTACTGGAAGGTGGAGTTGTTGCAACATGTTAACATGAAATTCAACAATGAATTTTATTGATATGTAAAAAGCTTTCATTTGACTAATACTGGCAAGTCTTTGTATTATATTTCAACCCAACCATTTTCCACAACTTGTAAACACCATTACAGAGTAATTAGTCAGGGAAATGGAAAATTTGTGGCGTGTACACCATGTTTGAACTGCCATTTCCATAATAAGCTGAAAGGATTGAGGAGAGTGTATGTGGGAATGAGCCCTCTTGTCTGTATCATTTATTTGCTAATTTCCCCTGTTGGCAATGTTTTCATGAGGTTGGGCTTTTAGAGCAAAGGAACTGAGGATTTTCGTAGGCAATAACTTTTTTCAAACCTGGAAACTATCATCGTGAAAGCCATACTTGTTCCTGGTAACTCATTCTTATTCTGATGAACTAGTTTTAAGAAGGATAAGTATTTTATTCCATAAATGTGATACATAGGCTGTGCAAAAAAATTTAATTTGACTCTAGTTTTATAGCTAATACCAATCCCTACACATAAAAAAATGTTAGGAGGATCAGAGGAAAAAATATAAAAAAAAATGCTAAAAAATTAAAAAATCTGACCGATTGACATGATGAGTCTTTACAGTGTTGTTGTCACACAATAACTCGTTCGCGTCTGAAGCTTTTATAGTTATTGGCGATGTTTACCTTGCTTTATTCGCCATGAGATCCTTATAAACTTTGTTGGAAGAAAAAAAATGGTTTTAGACTAAAGATCTTTTACTTTTCTATATGTTTAACTTCTAATAAGTTTTACTGGATTGAAGACCAACTCGCCGATGTCTCTACTCGATTTTATATGTCGGCGAGTTGGCGTTGGCGAGTTGAACCGTCGGCGAGTTGAACCGTCGGCGACTTGAACCGTCGGCGACTTGAACCGTCGGCGAGTTGAACCGTCGGCGACTTGATCGTAATTCACTTAATTGTTACAGTGGAGTTCACTCCTTTTTGAGGCAATCTTCAGCTTGATCATCCTGTTACATGTGAAAACATCATCATCAATGTTACATTTGAAGGCATAAGAAAATTTTAATCATTACGATGTAACGGAATCTCCCATTTTAACCCTGTTAGTCCCATTAGTGACCTGGACAGAATTTCTCCTAACATTATCAGTACGATATTAAGCAGACAAGTAATGAGAATAAAGAAAAATATCAATAAGGGAATTATTGGTTGATCCAATTCCAAATTCCCCAACCTAACATCACGTAAATTGTATGGCAGACAGTATGGAGAATTCCCCATGAAATCTGGATAGTTAAAGAGTTAAGACACATAATGTAGTCATATGTACCAGAAAGACAGCGAATAAATGTAACATACTCAAGTAAAGTGTTCTTTTGGACAATGAAGTTTCAAACTCATTGAAATTAAGTTGACTACATGATTCAGATCTCAGTTAAAGAAATGTGTAATATCTCTTTACATGGATGAAAAGAGAATGCCATTTATGAAATTTAAAATAGTAAATGCCAATATCTTAAAAATAGAACTTAAAAAACTATTAAAATATGGCATATCTATTCACTGAGATTTTAATCATTAGCTGGCACACAGAGATATAAAAGAGGCTTTGTGGAAACCAGGGCAATAAAATAAAGATTCAGAAGAAGCATATGACATTAACTAGTTTACTGATGTTCTCACCTGAATTCAAACTGGAAAGAGAACTCTGCAAAACTTCTGTTTTATCTTATTTGCAAGCAGGTTAAGGAGGAAATTAAAGGAATGGTTACATGTTATATAAAAAAGACCCTTAATATGTTGACAAAACTTCCCTAAATTATGGTGCCGATACGAACTTATCGTTCATAATCACTTTTGAAATTCCGAGACTTTACCTCAATGAATTTAACAGAAAATATTCAGGAAGGTTACAGAAACGGATTCTCGAAGACGGCTCTTGAATTAAAAAACTGTAAACAACAATTATTTACGCTAACCATGTGCTTACCAGCGTGCTTGTGAGCTCAAATTGCCGGTACCCGTTTAATTACACGATCACAGCTCGGACGCTTCTTGCAAAATATGATATAGAGATTGATTCTTCAGTTTCCAGCATTAGGAAAAAGTTATCGTATCGCAAGCATTTTCATCATGACCTGAGCACTAAGTACGCCTCAAGATGTTGAGCGAAAAGAAAGTGGCTCCGTGTTTTGTGAGACAAACCATTTCCTGAAGTTCGAACGAATCGAGTAGAAAGCATGAAAACGTAGCGCTGAAAAGTAACATGACTAAACAATGAAATTCACTCAGTAGGACTAACTCCATTTTACCTGTGAGTTTGTTTGCACCACACATTTGCGGTCCGTAATATAATTCTCAGATGTTTGAAGGGTTCTCACATGACAAAATTGTCAAACTCAAATTATCGCGTCAGACTTAATATCAACATGAACATTGCTGACTCAATCAAATTTTATTTCAATTTTGGGAAAGGCCATTACTTCGTTATCAGGGTAAAAAAAACACTTCGACAAAGCGCGATTTTTTAAAATGAGTAGAGTAATTCCTGCAATAGTTAACTGAAGAAAGAAAGAAGTAGACACTTGCGCTCGCCGTTCGCTTTCATTTGAAAACTTTCTAGGTAAAAAAAATCTGTTAGATAACTTCTTTTCCCTTACCACCACGACTGAATAAGACATTCCAAACGAGAGGACTAGAAATACCTTGAGGAATCCAAACACTTTGAAATGTTATTCCACAGATGGCCCAAGCTCACGTCTCGAGAAAAAGTTAACTATTAATTCATGAAAAAATCTAACATAATACTTTTACCTTGTTTATTTATGATTTTATGAGCTGTTACGACGATAACGTTATGCTCTACCACATTCTAGCCAGATTTGAGTTCCAGTTTTTATATCTTCTCCATCTTATTTTATCAGTTGCATGACAAGCGTGACATATAAATTCAAAGATGTATCAATCTCCGAAATACCAAGAGATGGATTTTTTTTCCTCTTTGCACGATATCTAGAAAAACCTTTCAGGAACTACTGCATTTAGAAAACTAAAGATCCATCAGTGATTCCTTTGCCGGCCGAAGTCAAAGTCAATTTGATTGACAAGCTATATACTGATCTAGGTAATTATCCCTTGTGTAAGCGTCTCATCTTACATGCTAACATGGAAATTTGCTTTTCATTTAAATCGTTCGCTGGCGGAACTTGTGGGTTTAGTTATCGAGAAGACCGAGGTTGCGTATCTCAAGTCGTCTCCTTGCATAGTTTTAAAAAAGACATCTCAAGTCACTCGCGGAGTTGCAAGTTTTCAGATCCAGAAAATGAAGTTGATTTTATTTTGTCGCTTGCCGGCATCTTCGAGACGCTAACAGGTATCGATAATTTTAAAATTTGCCCCACACATAGATGTTGGGTAGAGTTGTGGTTCCAATAGTAGATGTAGAGTGCCTAAAGAGGTGTCCGGCTATTGCAATATGGTAAGGTTAAGTCGATTCCAAAAGCCGATAGGGAAATTGGCAAGCGTGTATCACAGGTTGTACTCAAGATGTCTGGAAAATTCATACAGCCTGGCTCCGGTAAGTAGGCTACTTACCACCGTGAGAAAAATTACGTGTCCCCTCAGACTTAAGTCTCAATTGGGAATTGGTCAATAGGGTACCAAAAATCCAGACAGAGGTGGAGTTTTCTCTACTAATGTCTGAACACTTTATTGGCTTCCCGCCGTTTGGCGAGACGCATAATTATGCACACGGTGGTAAAGTGCCCTTCCACACAAGCTACTAGACGCTGACAAAACTTGTCTCTCTTCAACCAAAATCACATCAAAATTGGTCCTTGCTAAATTTCAAGTGTGCTGCACGTATCATCACTCCCGGCGGATACATTTACATAACAGGGCGGGGGTGCGCGACGGGACTTTTGAAAACGACCGTTATAAAATCAATAGGAACCTGAGTCGTATCTGTGTGGGAGTGGCAACAGTTGATGTCTACCCCTAAAAAGTACCAATTCAAAAGCAAAAAATCGAAAAATCCCAAAAATAAAAATTCCTTGATCGATGTGCTCTAGAGGCTCAAGTCAGATCTTGAAAATCGTCCTAGTAATGCTTATTTCAGGTATTTTATTGAGCGCAAAAAAAAGACCCTAAAACGTACCAGCTAGGTCTCTGGTTTTTTTTTATCCCTAAAAGGTACGACGAGCATCCTTACCCATTTCCAATCGCCTTCTCCCCCCCCGGTCAGCGCCTAGAAACAAAGATTTGCCTCCTGTGAAAAAGAAAGCGATTTGTCCCCGTCGCCCGCCACCTCAAAAATCTAATGTTCCGTCCCTAAGATACTTTTTACATAATTCAAAATGAGTTTCGTTCCGGAAGGAAATTAATTTCATAACGCGTTTACATGCAAGATAATTTAACTTGCAAAAACAATCATTTATGTCCTTTTCTGTCTTTTTCTATGCTTACCTCGCTCCTAAAGAGTATTTATACGGATATAAGAGTCGCACCGTGTTTATATTATACAGGTACAAGAATAAGTGTTTCGTTCTGGAATGAAAACCCCAACAAACTCATTCAGAAATGACTCGTTTCGAATAAACTTTTTTTCTGGTATCATGTGGCAACCGGTATCAACTCGTTCTTGAACAACACTCATTCCGATATCATGTAAAAGGCCCCTAAAGTTTTTATTCCAAGAGCATCACGCCTTGCTCTCCTGTCTAAATACTATGAATTTCAATAGTGTTGAAGCAAAAACCCGCTTTTAACTGCTTCACTGCCACTGAAACAACGATTAGTGACCACAAAAGGCATATATACTGATATTTTCAATTCAACATAAACAAAAATCGCTATACAGGGTAAGTATGAATTTGTGCGATTAAAAATTATTGTGTGACTAGCTTATGATGTAAATGGAGGAGGGGAAAACACAACGCAAAACCTGGGCTCCTGTCAAAAAGTAATACCCAGGCGTTATATAATAATCGAAACAGCTAATAAAATCATAAATACACAAGGTAAAAGTATTATGTTAGATTTTTTACAAATTGTAGTGATTTATGCCAGTAAACGGTGGCGACAAGTAGGCACACCATGCATATTTCATAGTCGCTAGCAAGTAAATTTTGCCGGACTTTGAGTTTGTCTCAAGATAGAACAACACAAATACACAAGGAAACTTTTACAGTAACTTTAAAACATCCTTTTGTCTTTTAAAAGCTCGAAGGTCAGTAGATTCTGTCATATCGGTCATTGTTAAAACTTTGTTTTGATGTTAATTTTTCAACATAGGAAAAGTATGTCGGAAAAAATATTCACCAAAAAATAAATATTTCTTTGCCAGCTCCAGTAATGATAGGGGATTAAGTTTAGATGATAAAAAAAAAAGGATTATGTTGACAGAAATACCGGAGGTCAAGTTTATTCGTTACATGAGTTCACAACTCGGGTAATATTCACGGTGAAAATTTGCATATTTGAGCGGTCGAACGAAAAAAAATCATTTCTCGAAAAACTAAAATATATTTTCACGCACGCATTATATCAAGCACGAACATCTCGCGAGTCGTTTTGTGGTCAACCTGTATTTAACGGTCACTCCGCCATTTTTCCTGGGTGACCGCTAAATACAAGTTCGATTGTAGAATAAAATGTGCATGCAAGGAAAAAAGCTCGTGCCTACGCTAGCTTGATCAGTCAACACACTAAAACGGGCTTTTTCCAAAGAAACCACCTTATGAAGTAATTTTTGTCTAATATTGAGTGACCGACATGGAAAAATAGTATAGCAAGTCTAGCAAGTCTTATTGTCATATTGATAATTTTGCAAATAAATCTATCTAATCAATCCATGCTCCATTTAATAGGTCTTTTTAGCGTTGACAGAGGCCAGGAATGAAGTCGAGAGAACACAAAGGCTCTTGCTAGAATTATGCGTGAGCACAGAGGCCTGCCTAAATATGATGAGTGACAAGGACTACGCTCTTCTGGAGATGGGAGTCAAAAATCTCAAGAACCAATTGGTCTACCACAAACAGAGATTAGAGAGAGAAGAGCACGTCGTGCTTATTGCAGGTGGGTTGCTGAAAAAAATTTTGAAAGCTCATAATTACGTAGAAGTTGTAGCATGCGCGCGTGTTGTAACTTAAGTTTCCTGCTAGCAGCTCCATTCGCCCTAAGGCAGACTGTCTGCCACAAGACGACGCCACTAGCTTGCAAAGGAGTAGCAAGAGACAAGACACGAACTACTTGACGGACACTACTTATGTTGCACAGTTTCAAGTCAATGTCTACCAGACTTCAATTTAAATTGCAATATATTCTCCGTTTTAATTATGCCTTCGTATCCGTCATAGCCAATATTTTGGATTTAATCGCGTCTAATCTGTAGAATGAATTTTCTCGGCTTACCACGAAGCGAGACTCATCATACAGTAAGTCGTGTGAAGCTCAATTTTTATATAAAAATAAGAAACAAGGGCCGTGCACCGGCTCATGTTGACAGACGTCACGCAGCGTTTTCCATACTCGTCTCCTCATTCGTCGTAAGAGGTTTGCTCAACCCGTCAGGCCAAGAGAGCAACTTTTAGACTGATTTCACTGAGAAGTCAAATCTTTCATATGAGTTCATACCTTTACAGAGTATTTGAGAAATTTGCTTTTCCCGAGTGATAAACGATTTGATGTCGTACGGCCGAAACGCCGACGCTATAAACTCGAAAGACAGAAACGTTGCATATTATTGTTGTTGTTTTGGTTGTTGTTGTTTTCTTGTTTCAATTTAATTAACTCATCTTGATCACAAAACATTTTCTCTTTCAGAAATGTATAAACTGTGATTTCTTAAACTAATAAAAACTGACGACGAACATTTTTCATCATATGTATCATCCCTTTTATGTGCGGGAGATAAGTCAAAGTGGCTCCCATGTTTTCCAGACTTTGCGCTTCAGTGGAGTAAATTTTTTTAAAAATTTTTTGTCATAGTAACGCTTCTTTTGTCTTTAGGCGAACAGGGCTCGAGGCAGTTTCCCTTTAACGTCTAGATTCTTGTCATTTATGGTCGTAAAAACGATGTAAATTTTTGATAAGAACCTGTTTTGCATCTTTATGAGAAATTGGCACTTTAAACTTTACCAGGACTTATCGTAGATAATGATCTGGAAATTTAAACACAACCAATTTCAAATTTTTTTTTAACCTGGTGATTTTTCTCGACAGGTGAAAGAGATCCGAAAAAAAGCACGTTGCTGAGTCTGATTCTTGGGGAACAACTTCTCCCTGACTCTTTTCTTAGCACCTCTTCCATTATTTGCGAACTAAGATATGGAACAACCCCTAGGCTGATAGCACACTATAAATACGCAGATCCTGAAACAGGCCTTTACTCAAAGACAATCCAACTTAGCGAGATGGCCGTGAACTCTCAACAAATCTTTCTTCAACAAACCTCCTCGTTTTTCCCTGAGCAAGATCTGCAAGGTCCAGTTTTTGATAAGATCGAGATCTTTTGGCCAAACAACCTGCTTAAGGTTGGTGATTAGCAAGCTGAGGACATAAATTGTAAATTGTGAGCCGAGGGTTGCTAAAAGCTACCATCAAGTGTTACTCTTGGCAAATTAGGTCTTGTAATGTACTGTTGATTGACGGATTATCTTTGACACTTAATATATGTCGTTTTTGTTCGCAATCTAACCCTTCAGGAGCACAGTTGTAGCTTGATTTCTTTACCGGAAAAAAAGTCTATAGATATTTCAACAACAAAAATTACAAAAGTAGTAATTAAAGAAAGAGTCATTTCCCCTGTTTTAGGATTCACTTACCTCTCATCGTTATCTCTCTTAGGAAAGAATCGTCGTGGTTGACAGTCCAGGATTTGAAAAATCACCCATGGTGGACGAGAAAGTAAAGGCTTACCTTTCTGAGGCTTTCGCAGTTATATGCGTCATTGACAGTTTAGCACAGCAGCAAATGGTAAGCTGCATGGAGAGGTGGAGTTAACGCACCTGCGGCGTTTGCCATAGCAGGGATTTTGTTTATTTAACTTTGCGGTAAAACTGTAAACTGACTAATACAATTATCCCGCGGCAGACGAATTTTAAACCGCCCTTTTATTACGTATTGGACTAAATTGATGAGCAAAACTCGCCAGATAGAATCTAAGATGGGAATGGTAAGCTATTATCATATAACTTTCATAATAATCAATAACGTTATTGTTAACGTTGCCACCATCATCAGTGTTATTAAAATTCTCATCATCGTCATAATAACTCCTAATTACTTTTGTCATCGTTATTATTACCATGGTCGTTATCATTATCTTTAAGATTATTTTACTGACCAGAGCAACCATTCATAACAGCTTTTCCTTAGGATATTCCCCGGTTAAATATGTTCTTATTTTTAATATCATTATTATGATTATTATTATAAAGATTATTATTATTATTACCCTCGAGGGAATTTTCAACTCCATGTGTACGTTTGTCCTTATAGATGGAAGAACCAATCAGACAATGCAGAAGAGTATGTCTTGACCATCTAGAAAACTCGTCAATTTTTCCTCTTTTCTTATGTAAGAATTGGGATCGAGTATCTCAAAGAGAGGCTGATTCCATCAAAAATCACGTCGTCGGAAAAGTCAGAGAATACTGGCCTGAATTAGACCCAAATTCTCAAATCATTTACATTTCATCGCCTCACGCCACAAACGATGGAACAGTTGTCGCGGAGTCTGCGTTGCCGATGGATGCTGTTAAATCCACCACCTTGCAAAACAATAAAGCAACGCTGCAAATGCAGTGGAGGTACGTTCTGTAGAGGGTGTTAATGGTCCTAATTTACCTCTTAAGGTTACTTCCCATCTTCGGAGGCCGAAAAATTGATTTTTGTTCTATTTGACTAAACTGAATTCAAATATTCAACCTAACGTTTCCATAAAAAAAATTCTGAAATCTTTAAAAAACCGAGTTATTTAGAAAAACGTACTTTCAAATAAAAGTTAATAGTTCAGGAATGTGTTAAAACTGACTACCTTAATTCATTACGAAATCACTATCTCGTGCTTATGCTAATTGCATAGTTGTGTGTGCTGTGTGAATGCGAAGGTGACAATTACATGGTGCAACAAAAACAACTGAGTTCTTTAGAAAAATTAAAAACTTTTAATAAAATTTAACTTTCATATAAAAGTTAATAAATCAGGGACGTGTCACAATCTCGGACATAAGCGAATCCCCTGGGGAAATTTTCGCGGCAACCGCTCATGTTGAGGCTCAATTTTCTTGTTATTTCCATATTTTGTTTACATCGCACACAGGCAGACAACGGCCGCGTGACGTCAGTTATCTGATACGCTGGGTGAACTCTTACATTGTTTGTAATTTGCAACGATCGATCTGGGCAAGACGCAAGTGATCCCGAGAAATGTTGCCTAAATACCGCAAATCGTGACGTTTCATCCCGAAAATCTATGCGATGACAGTCAGATAAATAAAGGTCATTTACCTCTGTTTTTCATGTTGTTTCGAGTGATTTTGTGGACGGTTAATTTCCCACTTTGCACTGAAACCCCTCCGAAGTCAAAGGAAAAACACAAGGCGTGCAACTTCCAGGACCGACCGGGCCGAAAGCCTCCAGAACTTCGCCGAATTTCTTCCGCTTCCAAACGTTGCTCACCTCCCAGCTTCGGGTACGTTATAAGTCGATAATCGTGTAAGAACCAAGCCGAAAATCAGTGCAGTTGCCCGCCTCTAACCATCTCAAAAGTCTGCTCGATTTCCGACATTCGCGGCTACACGCAGGCTACGAAGAGGTCGATCATAAGCCTTCGATTAGCCGTATAAAATTCAAATTAATCACTAACTGAGCTCAGATTTCACCCGACCCTCCCCACGCCAGTGCACAGTGTGTACCGTCTTTCGACCGACACGTTTTTTGTTGATTGATGCCTTGTGAAGAAGAAGGTGCAACCATTTTGCTCGTGCTGCGGCATCCAATACCCGACAAGTTCAATAGAAGAACCTTCGTTTGTTTCTCGCCTTACCGGCTCCTAACACTTTTTTAAAAGGAAAATCGCTTAAATTATATTTTTTATCGTAAACTGCAGGTATTAAGCTTTCTTCAGATGTACAGTTTGTTGGGAGTTTAGTGAACCTAATACGCTTACGAATTTTTTCCCGAAGGACACCCGCGAAGGGGGGAAGTAACCTTAACCTAGCTGGATTTTGCATTTTCTTCGTGGTTAAGTGATGCACTCTTCTTATCCCATTACTGTTTTACTTTTGACTCCTTGTAAGAAGACCAGGTTATGTTTCCTTTATGTCTTGATCTAATAAGATTCATTCATGTGCACAGAGAAAATTGTAATTTTACACATACGTAAAGGCGTAGAAATTGTCGGGCTTACTTTTCTAGATGGTTATTAGAAAGTGATTTATGGAGAAACTTGGGTAAAAGCCATATTCCCTAACGCCTCAATAAGCTCAAAATCGCCACAATAGCAATGAATTTCTTCCTAGTTTGTTATCCGATTAGTTTGTCTTAAAGTTTCACCCACATGGAATGATAAAGAATAAGTTCAATAAACATAGTGGTTAAAAATTAACTTGAAATTTGCATACTTTCATCTCTCAGGTGGCTTGATTTTGCCATTTCACGTATGGTCTACCACATGAAAATGGTTATGGATCTTCTTTGCCCATCCACCGATCGTAAGACCGTCTCCGATTCACATTCTGAACGCCTTCATAACGCTGAGAGGCAGCTGTGCTCAGTTGAATGCGAGTTCCAGGAGAAATTCAGAAAACTGACAGACGATGCTGTCCAGGATCTATCTAAACACCTCCAAAGTTGTGAAGTTATGGAACAATTTACTTCGTGGACGCTTGAAGATATTCCACGCACTGGAGAAAGCTGGAAGGAAACCGAACAGTTTATCCAAGATGCATTTAAGGAGCGACTTCAGAACATGATTGCCGCGTGGGAAGAAAAAAACCAAATTTTATCCAGCACTCGCAGCTCTCTGGTCCAATTGTCCCACCAGCGATTTGATGAAAGCAAGAGTCTACTTCCATACCAATACCTAGAGAACCCAGTCATCGCGGATGGTGCCACTAGTAGATCAAATACTTGCGTGTCTTCAAATCACTTCGGCGCGGCCAAAAAAGTTATGATCGGGCTGACAAGTCCAATTTGGGTTCCATTTGGCCTAGTAGGTTTAGCTGTTAGTGTTCCAGTTGTTGGTGTCATGACACTTAAAGAGAAAGTAACAAATATGAAACGTTCAAGAAAATACGGAAAAGAAAAACATAGATTCATCGTGCGAGCCTCCCAGAAATACCTTTGCAAAGTGGCTCAAGAGCAACAGCTTTCGTTGATGGTGGAAGAGCAGCTCAAAGATGTTCATGTTAACCTTACAAAAGTTTCATCTCGTTTGCACGAGCTCTTAGCCGCCGACAAAATACTATGTCAGCAGCTCAGTGATGAGACCCGCTCTAGAGATGAAATTAAAAAACACTATGGCCGTTTAGGAGAGATGAGTGTTAGAGTAAAGGAAAAGATGGCCCTCTTTTCCATTAAAGAATTACAGAGCATGGAAATAAGTTGTAATGACTTGAAGTGGGATCGAGACGATCCATCTTCACTTGTTGGAAATGGAGAATCCGCTTCAGTTTATCGGGGAACATTCAGGTTACCAGGACAGAGCGAACCAACACAGGTGGCTGTGAAATTGTGGAGTAAAGAACTGGACGAATCTACAGCGATTGGCTTCCTTTCTAAGACAGAAACACTGAGGTTAGTTATTCTTAATGTTTTTTTCAAATGAAAATTAATAAATTTAGTTGAATTTAATAGATAAAATAGGGCTGCGTAAAGAAGAATTTAATGTGATTTGACTACAATAGAAATTTAGATGATTTAGATAGATCGGTATGATAAAATAGCAGTTGAAAAACGCCGAAATATTCGGGTACTTTGAACCCAAACGAACTTGAATAAAGGTCGGTGTAACTATATTTTTTGTAGGAAGCTTGGCTTTTCCTTTATTGTCAAGTTCTTTGGGACAGCATTGCTGAAGGAAGGCGATCGATTGCGGGTGATCCATGTATTGGAATTGTGCGAGGAAAACTTGATGAATCATATTTTTCAGAATCCTGAAAATAAACCTGCATTTTCCAGAATAACCTCCGCCAAGAATAAGGTACTGTGCTGGGCAAAGGACGTAGCTGCTGCTATAGAGTTCATACACAACCAGGGTATTGTTCACCGCAACTTCAAGCTGGAGAAAATCTTGGTGAGTTTCGAATAAGTCTGAATTTGATTTTTACAGTTGCCTCGATCTCAGTCTGCATGTGAGGGTCAGTTCATCATTTATTATCTAATACGTTAGTCAAATAATTAAGAGTTACAAATTAAATGTAATATTTGTTAAGATCCACTTGAGTACTCTTTAATCTATAGTTCACGGTGTCAAGTGACGAACTGTAAATGCTATTGGTCAATTTTGCAAAAGGGGCCTTGAAGCTCCTAAAATGCCCGAAATTATTTCCTGGACATAGCAACTGTGCTCATATCATTCACCTCTTTTCATAGCTCTCTCAAAAAAATGTCGTGAAGGTCTCTGGTTTTCGCCCTTCCGAAGAGGCTAAGGTCATCACAGACGAGACAACGGGAACCAATGCATACCTTGCCCCGGAAGTGATCCTTTCCAAAGAACACGATACTAAGGCTGACATATACAGCTTTGGTGTAATGCTTTGGGAGATGTGGTATGGCAAGAGAGCCCTCCTTGAAATAGGGGGACATGTGCCGGACCAAGAGGCTAAGGGTGCAAGACCTTCATGTGTACAAGACGCGATCATGCCTCCAACTGGCTGGCAAGATCTAATGCAGCGTTGCTGGGATGGAAAACCCCACAATCGACCAGATGCGGCAGAGTGTCACAAGCTACTGACGGTGCTCTCCCAAGAAGTTTACACACCACCTCTATGAACACTAGTTATTAGGTGATCATCTTAAACGTATTTCATATTTAAAGATAGAATTACTAGGCAACAATAGCAATTGCCAGTCTGATAACAAACTCGTTCTGATTGCTATAGTAAATAGAAGAGTGACATACAAGGAAACATGTATTATGTTAGAATACAGTACCTGGCAGACTGATGCTAGACAAGAACCCATTTGTAAAGGCAACAAGTATGATTTCGCATAAAAGCTAAAGAAAATGTTTTCTGCATAAAGGTAAATCTGTGTTTGAAGACCATCATAGCAATATACCATTTTTGCATTTAAAAAGGCAAGAGCAGTTTTTTTTTGTCATCGCACGGTTTGTAACATAGCCTCACAATCAGAAAACACATAAAAAAGGAAACGATTTCTTTTTTCTTTAGCGCTTCAACTTTTCTTATCAATATAAAGGTCATTAGTATCGTTCTCAACATGAACAGCTATCATTGACGTTTTTTTTCTGGGTCACAGATATAATGATTGCATCATTACTGCAGTTTTTGAGTAAGGGAACTTGCTAAATGAGTAAAATAAATCGATAGTACGAGTCATTTCAGCACTTTGAAATATAGAAACAGCGTAAGTCTCTAAAGGTATAAATGGTGTGAGTAGAAAAACGCTCAGGGATCTTGGGAGCCGAGTTTCAAAACTGAGACGTGCACATTTGCATACGAAAGTGGTACGGTTTATATGTTGGTAAATGAAACGTTTATGACGGCCAATTCAAAGGTTTGCCTCCAACACCTCCTAATGATATACTTTTAATTATTGTTCGTTTTTGAACGATTAAAAGCGATTTTCGGCCAAGAAGGAAACTGTCAAAAAAAATTGAAGCACCTCGAAGACTACTTTCAGTATAAATTTTGGAGTGGGTCATTGACAATGAAAATCGCCGACTAAATTAGATCGACTCATCGACCCGAAAATTGACATCTAAGAAATTTCTAGCCAGGTTTTCAAAACAAAGGTACATCCCGTAACATCGTAACATCCCGGAGAGACTCAGCCGGAAATATGCATCTAAGTTCATTTTCGTGACTATGAAAAGTCATGTTCTTTTCAAAGACACGTCACAATCATTATTATCTTGTAATATTAAATTTCTGTTATTTATATCCGCTGTCTAAGTTAAAATAAAGAGACAATAGCATTACGTCTCAGAAAAAAAAATTTTTTTGGCTTTTAGAAAGAGGTATAGTTTGTCGCTATAGAACACGAAATCTTTATGCAGTGCTGTTTTTAAGGCTGAAGTCACATGGAAATGTCCTAATTTTTAACATTTGCCTACTAACTCCAAATATGGTCCACTCTTTAGGCGCGATCCACTGCGAGATTAGTACTCAGAAGGAGTATCGTCAGTGAATGCCTTCATCCTGAAACTTTCTCTCTTGACCTCTCGATAACCCGAGGAGTCATCAATGATACCGGGAGGAAAAATACAGTAAAAACTTCCTGGTTCTGCTGCCGAAACATTCCTTTACGAAATAACCCTGACCTGAGAACTCAGAAGGCTAGAGAGGCCAACTCTAGCCAAAGGCACGAGGAGGCCTCATTGCCTCTCTTCTATCCAATTTTTTTAGCAGTAGAGAATTCTGGGTAGAACTCGTGTTGGCTTGCTTACCCTGACAATCCAACCGCATGCTTCGCAAGCATGAAACTTTTTTGACGATTCACGTGGTATAGGGTTCCATCAAGAGAACATAAACCATTTATATTTTGCTGGTTCTAATCATTAAAAGAAATGATACTGCGAATGAATAAAGTAAACGGAAAAACAAGTCAGCAACGATAAAGAAAAATGCAGCCAAAGTTTGAGTCCTATTAAAGTTTGGGCTTGAAATAACGATTTGCCTAGGCTCAATTTCTGAGGACTAGCGATTTTTGGGATATATCGCTCCTCTTTGACAAACATTATAAAAAAGACTAGCATTGACTGTAATCAACAAAACGTCATTTCCCGTAACTTCCCCTATGTATCTATGCCTAGATTTGAATAATTCTTCTCGAAATTTACTTATTGCGTGTAATGATTAGCTATGATTCCACAATCGTCGAATAAGTAATTTCCGTTTTGAGTCAAGTGTCATAAGGTCAGTGTGAATTTTCACAGTAAATTCGGACTGGGAATTCTTAGGAATTCCCAACCATAACAACTCTGGTTCTAAAAACCTAGAAATTCCCAGAAATTCCCAAAAATTCCCAGAAATTCCCAGAAATTCCCAAAAAAATAGTCCTAATCAGTCATTAAATTTGGTTTGACACAAATTGTGAATAAAATCTTCTTTTCCATAAAATACAATGTCTTAAATTATATTTGAAAACCAAGCACTCTTGGGAGTAAAGGGGCTAATTACAGTTAAATAGAATTGATTTTTTAATTAAAATCTTGTTGTCACTGTAACAGTAAATTAGAATGAAGTTATCCTAAACTGCAAACTAGCTTCTGTTTGTCTTTTTTTCCCTGGGCTCACAATGAGTTGGCCTTGAATGAGGTTGTCTACAAGAAGCTTGACCATTTTGTATCTGGATTCCATGACATATGAATTTGAAAAAAAATGATATATATAAATATATATATTAAAAGCTCACACCAGGCCTTAGATAGCTATAAGGGAAAGAGCATTCATTCGATTCTCAAATTGGGAAATCTCTGTTATTTTGAATGACTTTTATATTGGAATCAGTACATCTCTCCTATAGATTTTACTAAAAAAGGGCTGAACACATTATTTTGTTTTAACCAAGGAGGGCTTCTTTATGTAATAGGTCTCGTCTAATAACAGTTTGTAATATTAATCTTGAATGTTACTAAACGTGACTAAAGTAATCTTGAAACCTTACTGATAGATTTATTTCATTGTAAAGCATAAGCTTAAGAAAATGCGGCATGCAAGTGACTGATTCGATTCTCAGAATTATTCTAGTTTCAGTTGCGCCGAGCGCTATGTAAGCTTAATTCAAACCGTTACATTTATTCTTTGATAAGATTTTGATCACGTTCATGGCAAAGGTGAAAAATAAGACAAGCCAAGCCAATCAAAATTTTAAATGCGATTACAAATCGTCTTTCACCCTCATTTTTATAAAAGGAGGATACCGCATCAGGAAGTATAAGAGATACATAGATGATCCCAGTGTACCAGTACCTAAATCAACAAGTTTAGCTTGACCGTAGCAAGCGTTCAGCAACACGTTCCAACACCGCCATCTCGATTCCTCAGTCTGTAGTTTCCACTGAACTTGAAGCAGGGGTGCCAACAGAGCAGAGTGCGTCTCATAAAGGAGAAGCATTTGTACATTTGTGTGTTATATGTACGATTTTACGCCAGGTAGTAACTAACGGCGTAATTTCTTGCAGTCGGTGGTGTTTATATGTACGATTTTACGCCAGTAACTAACGGCGTAATTTCTTCCAGTCGGTTGTGTTTATATGGAAGATTTTACGCCAGTAACTAACGGCGTAATGTCTTGCAGTCGGTTGTGTTTATATGTACGATTTTACGCCAGTAAAAGCGTAATTTCTTCCAGTCGGTAGTTTTATATGGAAGATTTTACGCCAGTAACTAACGGCGTAATTTCTTCCAGTCGGTGATATATATATATGTAACATTTTACGCCAGTAATATAAATTAATTATATTTTAATTTATTATAATTAAATCACCGACTGGGTTAGTGGCGTAAAATCTTACAGTATATAGACTGTGTTAGTCACATATTACGCCGTTATCTAACTACCGGTTCTACAGCGGGATGAGTGAATTTAATTGTTTGGTTGTCGTACTTTTCAGCGCTATGTTTTCATGCTCTCTACTCGATTCGTTCGAACTTCAGGAAATGGTTTGTGTCACAAAACATAGAGCCACTTTCTCTTCGCTCAACATCTCGAGTCGTTATGATGAACATGCTTGCGATACGATACTTTTTTCCTTATGCTGGAAACTGAAGAATTAATCTCTAAAATTAGTAGTCATCACATTTTGCAAGAAGCGTCCGAGCTGTGATCGTGCAATTAAACGGGGTCTGGCAATTTGACCTCACAAGTGCGCTGGTAAACACATGGTTAGCGTAAATAATTGTTGTTTACAGTTATCGAATTCAAGAGCAGTTTTTGAGAGTCTGTTTCTGTAACCTTCCTGGGTATTTTCTGTTAAATTCATTGAGGTTTAGTCTCAGAATTTCATAAGCGATTATGAATAATAGACTCGTATCGGCACCATAATTTAGGGAAATTTTGTCAACATATGAACAGATTACAATTCGCAAACCATTTCTGTAACCTACTTGGATATTCTCTCTTGAGTAATTGAGTAACACCCTCGGAATTTCATAAGTAATTAAGAACGACAAATCCTTATATATAACACAAGTGAAGCACATTTTAAACTTTCATGCGATTGTAGGAAACTATACTTAATTAACTCTCGATAAATTGGCCTGATATAACTCGATGATTATTTTTTTTATTTTGTAGCCCCAAAAGCCCGGCTTGTGACTCTTGAGGTACTGAACTTGATGTATTTGATGCACAAGGCACCCTTCAAGTAGGAAGGTTAGCATAGAATTGCTTTTATGACCATATATTGCATATGCTTCTGCTTTATTTTATTGTAAGGGGTTTCTTTTTATGTAACATGTATCCATCCTTTAATTTCCTCCTTAACCTGCCTGCAAATAATTGAATTGTTTAAAATCAAGATAAAACAGAAGTCTTGCAGAGTTCTCATTCCAGACGGAATTCAGGTGAGAACATTAGTAAACAAGTTAAAATCATATGCTGCTCCTGAATCTTTAATTTTATTGCCCTGTTTTTTTTCAGAAATCCTATTTTATATCTCTGTGTGACAGCTAATGATTAAAACCTCAGTACCTAACCTTTTAGTAGTTTTTTAAATTCCATCTTTTTGTTTTTGGCATTTACTATTTTAAAATTCATAAATGGCATTCTCTTTTCATTCTTGTAAAGAGATATTGCACATTTCTTTAACTAAAATATGAATTATGAAGTCAATATAATTTCAATGAGTTTGAAACTTCATTCTACATAAGAACACTTTACTGACGTATACTGTTATATTTATTTGCTGCCTTTCTGTTACAAATAATTACCATATATGTGTCTCAACCCTTTAACTCCCAAAATTTTATGAGTAATCCTCCTTACTGTCTGCCATACAATTTATGTGATGTTAAATTTGAGAATTTGGAATTGGATCAACCAATAATCCTCAAATTGATATTTGTCTTAATTCTCGTTACTTTTCTGCTTTATGTCATACTAATAGTGTAAGGAGAAATTCTCTCTAGGTTAACAGTGGGACTTAACCCTTTAACTCCCAAGATCTCATTAGTAATTCTCCTTACTATCTCCTATACAGTTCTTGTGATGTTAGTTTGGAGGATTTAGTATTGGATCATCTGATAATCCCCTAACTGATATTTCTCTTTATTCTCATCACTTGTCTGCCTGATATTGTTTTGATATTGTAAGGAGAAATTCTTTCTTGGTCACTTATGGGAGTTAAAGGGTCAAAATGGGGTATTTCAACATATTGTAATGATTAAAATATTCCTAAGCTTTCAAATGTACCAGTAACATAAAAATGTGATGATAATCTGATGATATGTAACGCTTGCAATGGAAAAACCTGTTGCTGGTAGCTTATGTCTTTAGTGCTTAAATTTTCATGGGAAATGCTTTTCTTTGAAAGTGGGGATACAGAAGTTTTAAGGCTGATAGAAGTAAGCTGTTTGCAAGTAGTAAAAGGCAAATTGACAATCATATCTTAATGCTTGACATGCTTCACTCATACATGTCAGTTGTGTGTACCTACCATTGTAGAGGTGTCTTTAAAAAGGTTTTTTTTTTGTTACACAAGGCAACCTTCAGGGTGGAAGAGTAGAAGACCACAGAATGATGTTTACTTGGCATTTGTACTTAATGCAATCATATATTCAAGCAGTACTCTACATATCTATAACTGATTACATGATGTCTTTAACCCTTTACACTCCAATATCAGAATGCATATTCTCCAAACTGTTTTCTATATATTTCCTTATATGCTGGCAAGGAGAATTTGTTTAACAATCAAGAGGTTCTTCAGTTGATTATCATTTCCTTTATTCTCATGACCTTAATGTGTGACTCAGGGGTGATATTGAATGGAGAAATTAGATGCTAGTCACTCTCAGGGATTAAAGTGTTATTAGCTGTACACATTTTCATGTATATGCTCCTCACATTTGTTGGCGACAATAGCTAAGATTGTTAGGAAAGCAAACAAACAAGTGAACAAAAGACAGTGAAATGAGGGAAACTGTAAACTTAATCATGTGATAGAAAAACATCACAGAATACTTAAAGAGGGGAAACTTGAATTGTGCTAGCTAATTTCCTCTATTGCCATTCATGTTTTTGATTAAATAAAATTTAATCCTTTAACTCCCAGTTCAAATTTGTAATTCTCCATACTGTCAACTATACAATTCTTATAATGTTAGTTCTAAGAATTTAGTATTGGATCAACTAATTATTCTCAAATGTATATATTTTTTTATTCTCATCACTTATCTTCAAATTTTCAACTTTGTATTAATTGTAGCTGCATGTTTACTATGTCTAAATTCTCTGTACCATAAGCCCTCAAAAGTTGAAGCAGGCAAGTCAATAACCTGACTTCCTTTGTTTGGAATTGTGTGATTATATAATTTTGCTGTGTTGGTTACCATACTGTAACATGTAATATTATTATTTAGATTGCATTAAATACGCTAGCTCAAGCTTTCATTACTGCATGGTGTTCTTACCAATGGTCCTACTCAAACTGAACATTGAAATAAGGAATTGGTCACAAGATTTATGAGTTTAAAAGGGTGGGAATCTGGAAAAACAAGGATCCTCCTTTAATAAGGACTGAAATTAATGGGGGCCCTCTTATTTTAATTCATGTTTTTAATTTAACCTGCCTCCTTCCCTGTAATGTTCAGGGCACATAAATGAAGATAACATTTTTTTTGTATTTTGCTGCATAAAAGTTAAATTACCAGTAATTGGCATCCACACAATCACAAAGCAAGAATGTAAAGCTTTAGTTTAATTGGTTAAAAAATTAAAGTAAGAGAGTTTTGCAGACCGTTTCTGACTTTTTATCCTTACGTAACAAAGACACTATCAGTCTCATTCACTCTCACTTTCCACTGAGCTGGTGGAAAGATGATAACATCATTATTTCTCTAAACGAAGAAAGGAAAGCCTGCCCTCTTACCACAGATAGTTCTGTTGGGCATCATTAGTTCAAGATGATTGTTCCAGGTAGGCTAACCTTAAAATTAGTTGTGAAAATTTCTTGAAGCTGTCATTTTACATCTTGAATGTTTGACTCAATTTTACCTCACCAACCTAAACTGAATAAATAGAAACATGAAATTTATTTGTTCTCCTTTTGAGGTGTGCATCAAATTTTCGAATTCATCACAGGCTTAAACTGTAGGTTTACAGGAAATCTGCATGTGCATGTGTTTTCAACATATAAAACTGGGATTATGACTACTTCAAAAGACTTTACTACATGCCATATAGGTACAGGTAGGTGTTGTAAAAAAAGTTTGCTTAGCTTTTTCATTAGTACACATTTCTTTTTCTAAGAAACTTGTTTATCCAGCCTATGCTGAATTCTAATTTTTCAACCAAATTTTATTACTTGTTTAAAATATTATTAGATCTCCTAGTATCAGTTAATATTCTTGTATTTAAAATAATGACATTAAATCTTGCAGATGCATCGCAGATTATTTTTGCTCTGAACCTCCTAACATTTTACTATTTGAAGGGACTGGTATTGGCTATAAAAGTATAGTCAAATTAAAGGTTTTTGCACAACCTATGCATCGAGTTTTTGCTATAAAATATTGTATCCTTCTCAAAACTAGAATAAGAATGAGTTACCAGGAACAAGTATGGCTTTCATGATGATAGTTTCCAGATTTGAAAAAAAGTCACTGCCTACTAAAATCCTCATTTCCTTTGCCTTGATAGCCCAACCTCATCAAAACATTGCCAACAGGAGTGATTAGCAAATTAATTATACAGACAAGAGGGCCTATTCCCACATACATCCTCCTCAATCCTGCTAGCTTACTATGGTCATGGCATTTCAAACATGGTGTATATGCCACAAGTTTTCCATTTTCCTGACTAATTACTTTGTAATAGTGTTTATATGTTGAAGAAATTGTTGGGTTGAAATATAATACAAAGACTTGCCAGTAGATAGTTTTATCACAGAGACTTGCCAGTAGATAGTTTTATTACAGTTTTTATTCAGTGTAACGTAGGGCTGGAAAATAAACTAATAAGAGCTCCGCTTTTAGGCTTGGCTAAATCTATATATTAGTATATCATGCCGTAAATTACCTTTCAGTTTTTACGTTTTCAAGTACCGTACCCCAAGAATAAAAGATAATCAATTAGATACAAAGATAAGCGCTTGAGGTCAGTAAATCTCCACCTCCGATCGGATATGTTTATACCTTGAGAACCTAAACCCGCTACATTGCGTGATAAGTCACGCCATGACTGCCAGACAAGTACAGACGATGGCGTCAATGACATGGACCGTGACAATGCACTGCCGTAATCAGACCCCTGTGTGAATTGGACTGTGATAAATGAAGCGAAACAGTTAAAGGTTTAGGTTTTCCTTTTTCGCAATTCTCAAAGCTTCTTTAAGCTTGAAACTGATGAAATTTTGATCATAAACGTTCAAGTTATCGATTTGCAACATGAGTGCATCACTAGACATTGACAAGATCGACGACATCCTGGAGATGGCAAAAACAATGGCGACACTAAAAATTTCGTCCAAAGGGCTGAAAACGTTGGACCAAATGAAAGCAAAAGTGAAAGAGACACTCCATTCGTCAGAGAAGAAGTCAAGTTGGACGGCAAAGGAGGTGAGAACCCTGCTATATCTTTTTAAAATATGGACAACCAGCAAACTCAATTTATAAACGACATTTTCAGTACAATGGCGGAAGTATCTAGATGTGACCTTTATTAAATGGTAGACGCAGACCATATCGTGAATTTCAGTAACGAATTGTTTACCAGTCTCTTCATGCTAACTTAGCCATCGTTTGCGATTTAATCCCATGGCGATCCATTCAATGATGGCATCTCAGAAATGAACGGTACTGGAAGAAACCTTATTCTCTGGACGGAAATCGTAGCATTCACTCGCCATGTTTCTCTAAGTTCACACTTACCATTACGTAGAGCAATATAAAAGGCGGCTAATTACTTATGGATACTTCCATAAACGATTCTTACCACTGGGTGTCAGCAAAATGATTCAAAGAAAAACTTTGGTGAAATCTGCGTCAATTCTGCTTTTTCCTATCGCTTTGTGGTCGTAGTTCGGAAACATGTTAACCATTTGGGAAAATGTTGACGATTGTATCAGGTTTACACTTCTTTATTTTCTTAGAAATGCCTTCATAATTTCTGTAAAATAAATGACCACGGACTTAAAGCCTGGAGTGACCCGATGCTTTTCTACGGTATAAGGAAGCCACAGATGCGTTCTACTATTCGTAATTGTCATCAAAATTTGTTTTTGTTCTCATAATACATGCATATTTACATATAGGTAATCATGGGTGACGTACCGCAAACAATAGCCTAGCGGTGGTTGCATTGCGGCAGTTTTTGAGCTTAAACCAGCCTAATGAATCTATTCCCTAAATTAAGCTGCGCTCAGAAGAGAGATGTGTATCTAGCAGTGATGTTATTAGTTATAAGGATTTCCAAAATGACTGTAAAACGGTTAAATTAACCAAATAGGCCCAAAATTAATCTTTATTTTACACAGGAGAATGTTGATGCACAGTACTTGTTTCATTTTGTGCCATTTATCAGGCCTTTTCAGTGTTGACGGAGGCAAAGAAAGAAGACGAGAAAAAACGAGCAACCTTGCTCAATTTCTACGAACACACGGATGTTTGCTTGCAGAGTATGGATGAAAAAGTTCATGCCCTTTTGGAACAGAACATCGGAAACCTCAAGGAAAAAATAGCTTCCCACAAACAAAATCTGCTGGGAAAAGAGTACATTGTTCTTGTTGCAGGTTTGTTATAAATAAACAATTTGACTGCCATTGCTTTGAAATTTTAGTTTCGCCAACTTCCTCACCCAAGAGACTTAAATTCAAGACTGACAAAGAAAAGAAGGCCTCATTCAGTTATTATACTAATCCAGCCTCAGCTAATTAGTAAGCTAATGATCGAGCCATGAATTAAATTAAAACTATATTTCTATGAGGGAATTGTACTCAGTATATTTCATCCTCCCTTAATTGTGCTTTCGTGTAATGTACTCCATTAAGTAATATTAACTGTTTACTTTGTTTAACAATCATGAGTTCCTTTACTTGATGATCATTTCCTTAATTCCCATGACCTGAATATGTGAATAAGAGGTGACCTTGTAAGGAGAAGTTAGATGTTTGTCACTCTTAAGGGTTATAGGGTTAACAGTAAGACCTTTATGACTAATATCTACTAATCAAATTTGACAGTCACACGAATACTTTTTTAATTCTATGGAAAACTCTGAATCTTACAACATTTAAATTATATGACTTTTATTGATGGAATAAAGATCACTCATTCGTTTATTCACCATTTTTCAATTATCCAATTTTTTTACTTGGTTCTTGTATGTCATAAGGGACTCCACTGACCTGTCCTTTTGCCCCACAACTTTTCCCAAACATCTCACTCTTAGTACACAGGCCCGCCATTCAAACCAGGTTGTTGAACTTGGCCAGTCTGGTTAATAAATAAGTGCAATACACTTATGACAAAACGAGTGTACAGAGTGGGAATCTGCTGGTCCAGACCAACAAAGACTATTTATTGATAGTTCCTTTTACGGAAGTCTGTCTTTTGAGCGTAGCACATAACATAGCCAACCTCGAACTGATATCTGGGTGAAAGCTATATAATTGTGAACAGCAAGAGGAATAGTATTTTTTATGAAAGCGAATTAGAGGAAGAAGGGAAATGGTATTTTGTTGAGGATTTCTGGAGGAAACGACCGGGGAGGCAGATTCTCTTGTTCGACGTAACTGAAGTAGAATCGACCCATTCTTACCAATGTTTTTTTCCAACTTCCCTCCCTATTTTCACCTGTTTATACTTACCAGGCGAAACAAGTTCAGGAAAGAGCACTTTGTTAAATCTTATCCTTGGAGAACAGCTTCTTCCTTACTCCGTTCTGAGTACCACATCCACCATCTGTGAACTAAGATATGGAGATACACCAAAGCTGGTGGCGCACTTTAAAGACAAAGGATCAGGGGATACCTCAAAGACCGTCCTCTTAAACAAGCCATCCGAAGCCTCCGAGCAGAGTTACCTTCAACAGATTTCCGAATTCGTCCACCTAAAGACGAACAGAGAAAAGGGTTCAGATTACGAAAAGATTGAGTTGTTTTGGCCTCACAATCTGTTGAAGGTTAGACATGAGCAAGCTCAGTAATTATACGCGGTCTAAGAACTGACCTTTAGAAACATATTGCACATGTCAGCAAGCTTAAGAATGTTCGTGCAATAATGTATTTTACGATATTAGAACTGTCCTTTTATGACTGAAATTGATATTGGGGATGTTAGAGAAATTTAAAGTCTCCAAATTCCTAACCTTCCGCAAATAATTTGCCATCCTGCATACTAACTGCTTGTGCACGTTTTATTTAGAATTTCACTTTGCTATATTGTGACATGAACTGATCTAAGGGGTGATTGGTTGTTGGCATCTCAACTGAATAGTTACACACATCTCTTCGGATGTATACTAATTACAGTCACTTAACAATTGATCCATACGTCAGCGTGCGTTCATCGAGATATGAAGCACGCGGGAAGTTTGGAGAGCACGAAAGATGCGTAAGAGTTGCTCGAGGCTCTAGCTTCTCTCTCCAAACTTCCCAAGTGCTTCATATCTCGATGAACGCACAGATGACGTATGAACCAATTGTTTTATAACATTTTCAACCCGATGGAAATTTTTTTTCTCGAGGGATTTGTTTACTGACGTCATGAGCATGCACAATAGGAATACGAACCACGCTCGCGCAATTGAATTTGATTAGACAAATTTACCAGCTATATTATAATAATAATTTAGTAACAGCAGAATCGGCTGGAAGTCACGTCTGACTAAATTCTGATGATAAATTCGGCTAAGGAGGTCAAAATGTCACTTGAAACAAACAGATATAGAGGACATTATATTTAGAGTTGAAAGTAATTTGGACTTAAGCTCGCTCTGTGATTGGTCCAGAAAACTCGTGCCAATTCATTAATTAATCACATTCAAAACTAAAACCAATTGCAACTGACTTGCGTTTTTCTCTGCAAAATGATGTTCGCTTGTTTTTTCTTTGGGTTCTCATTGTATTGTGTGATGTTTTCCTTTGCTCTGATTGATTGTTGGGATTACTTTGGGTTTTGTCTTATGACAACCAATCGAAACGCGCTCTTGATAGCGATCCTCGAGGACAATATTTTGCTTCAATGACGGTGAATTTATGAAAATCATGTATGTGATCTGCAGATTAAGAAATGAAAATGAAAGGGATTTAAATCCTACTTAGGCATTAGTGAAAATATAGCTTGAAAAAATTAAGGCCTGTACGGGATTTGAAGTTCGAAGCAAAGATGCTTTCATGTTCAGTATTTTGCTTGTTACATCTCATATTTTAAGTGTCCTTTAGGAAAATGTTGTAATAGTCGACAGCCCAGGAATTGGCGAATCTACCATCATGGATGACATAGTAAAGGAGTACCTTCCAGAGGCTTTCGCATTTATTTACGTCATCAACAGTGAAAACGCCGGTGGAATACAGCGAGATAGGGTAAGGCACTTTAAAGTGCGAAATGCATTCTCATTTCAAAAATAATTAAAGGAAAATGTGCTGCAAAAATCGTATCATTTTTTGAATCCTCTATTTTTAAAAAGTGTTAGAGTAACCAGATTGTTCAAAAGTTTTCGTCAAATGCGCAAGAAGAAGGAACTTAACGAACAGAGATGCTCCTGCATAGCGGTTACGTGAGGCATAACGTTTCCAAAACGGCAACTTCTGAACTATTCAAAAAGAGTCGACAGATAGGTAATTCTATATTTTGGCCTTCAGGTGGAAAGACTTATCGAACACGCCAGACAGGTATCTATTGACAAACAAAGGGAATCTTCCTCAAATTGTGCCCTTTTCGTTTGCAACAAGTGGGACCAGGTGCCGCCAGTAGAAACTGATGAAGTTAAGAACCATATCCTGACGAAACTCACGCAGTGTTGGCCCTCTCTGGATCCAGAATCTCAGATCATTTATATGTCAGCAAGAGATGCCAGTGAAGCTCAGAAGCTTGGAGTAGTCACGGAAGAGTTTGCTAAACTAATGAATGGTATCAAGTCCATGGTGTTGAAAAGTATTGAAGCAAGACTACAGATTCAGTGGAGGTAAATTGCTTTGAATCCTTAGCGACAAAATTATTATTGAAGAAGTTGAGAATGTATTTTTAGTTCTGAAATATAGGAATGAAAATATCTTTAGTTTGATGCTGCGTGAAATATATTTTTCAGGAAACAAAAACGCATTAGCCGAAGGTAATACAGTGCATAAAATGTTAATTCAGTGCAAAAAAAGCCAAGAAACTCTTTAGCCTGGCTTTGCATAAGTAAATATAGTGATGAAGTGTAAAAGACAATTGAAAAATTTCTTTATTCTCAGGTGGCTTGACTATCTTCTTGCACGTATGGCCCTCCACACGAAAGCGTTCATTCGTAATTCGTCCGAAGATCGTAAAGATGTGATAGAACGAATGATGTTTATCACAAACCGCCTCAAAAGTATTGAGAGGCAGCAAGGTACAGTAAGCAAAGAGCTGCAGTCATACCTCGAAAACAAGACAGACCACGCTGTGAGTACACTGTCCAGATACCTTAAGTCTCCAGAAGTTATTGAGCAGTTTTCTTTGTGGACATTAGATGACGTTCCAAATACTGAAGAAAGCTGGGAACTGACAAAGAATTACATCCAAAAGGCGCTGATGAGGCGACTTCAAGAAAAGATAGAGGAATGGGAAGAAAAGAACCATATCTTTTCCGATGCTCGCGCCTCTTTGATTCGATACTTTCAGGAGAGGTTCAGCTACGTCGAAGGTCAACTTCGGATGCTGGAGGGCTCTGTCCTAGCCGGAGATGCTGTCGGCTCAGGAAGTGACCCGCTGGCATCGGATGATTTTAGCGTCGCCGAAAAAGTCATCATCGGGGTCACAAGTCCAATTTGGGTTCCAGTTGGTCTGGTTGTCTTAGTGGTCAGTGTCCCGGTAGTTGGCGCCATGGCACTTAAAGAAAAGATTGAAAACTGGAATAAAACAAGACAATACAACAAAGACAGGTGTGCATTTATGGCGAAAGCTTCCCAAGAATATCTGAATGAATCAGCTGAAGAACAGCATTTAAAGTCGTTCGTGATGGAACAGCTTAAAGAAGCTCAGGTTTGTCTTAAGCAGGTCTTAGATCGGATCCCTCAGCTCATAGAAGAGGACAAAATGTTGTGTCAACAATTGAGAGATGAGAACCGTTCTAAGAAAGAAGTAGAAGATTTCTACCAACCGCTACACAAAAAGAGTGTACAAATAAGGGATGAGATGGCCCTTTTTGGCATTAAAGAGGTTCGCACCATGGACATCAGCTGCGACGATCTGGAGTGGAAAGACAATGCACTTCTTGGGAGTGGAACGTTTGCAGCCGTTTATCGAGGAAAATTGAAGATACAAGGAGAGGATAAACCCGTAGATGTTGCTGTGAAAGTGTGGAACGAGGAGCTCAACGAAGATACTGCTAGCGGCTTTCTTTCTGAAGCAGAGATACTCAGGTTGGTTTTGTTATGTTTTGGATCTTGATATGTTATATTGTTAATGAAGAAAAATACATCGGCTAAAATCTTGGAGAAGTACTGGATATATACTGGCCAGTAGCTAATGAGATATTTTCTGAATCTTTAAATTCTTTTCTGTTCAAGGAGCTCATAGTCATGAGAGAATTTATTTAAATTACGTGGTATTTTTCTGTCGCTTTCAGAACACCCAGAATCTAGGCATATTTTTACGGGGAGGCACATCATCATTCATTTTCCCAACAATTCATTACCGTTAGAACTCTTAGAAATCTGCTGAATCAAGCATTTCAGTCAGATAATAAGTGAACTGATTGAAAACAGAAGAAGTTCTTGATTGATAATCTAAATTTTCCTGTCAGTATCAGAAAATGAATATAGATTGTTAGTTTCTAGAAAAACTATGGTGCCTGGTCGATGGGAGAGTATAACAGGGTATTTTAGTATTATCAACTGAGTTGATGACGTAAATTGGCCACCGTAAAGAGTTTGAAAGCTGACGTTTCGAGCGTGTTAGCCCTTTGTCAGAGTGATTGATGAAGGGCTAACACATTCGAAACATCAGCTTTCAAACTCTTTACGGTGGCCAATTTACGTCATCAACTCAGTATCAGAAAATATTTGGATAACAGTATAGAGAATATATATGCATACTGTTTTATGAGTGAAGGTTGTTTACGCTACGTTTTCTTTATGTAGGAAACTGAATTATCCCTCTATTGTAAAGTTCTATGGTGCAGCACTTCACAAGGAAGGGGAGCAGCTGAAAGCAGTTCTGGTGACGGAGCTCTGCAAGGAAAACTTGATGACGCACATTTTCCGGCATGAAGGCAATATACCTGGAAAGTCATCAACTGCTACAGCTACGAGAGATATGATCGGATGGGCAAAAGACATCGCCGATGCTTTGGACTACATTCACAGACAAGGTATCGTTCACAGAGATCTCAAGCTGGAAAATATATTGGTGAGTTAAGAATTGGGACTAGTGGTTATCGTGACTATTTATAATTATAATCATCTTCGTAATCGAGACTCATCTCGCATTTCATCGAATTCTTATTCGCTCGCCTTCACCCAGTTTTCCTGATTTCTGCGTGAGATACCTGTGGCAGACCACGCTATAAATTCGCTTAAAATTAGCCGCGTATTTGTGCTTCGCAATGAAATTGGCTGGGGCTGGATTGGCGACCGCACATGATATCCTGTTTTGTCTTCAGTTTTCGATTTAATTCCTGTAATTTGAAGGATCAGCATTAAATTCATTATTTTCCACGTAAAACCAGTGTGACTGTAGATAACGACTAACGCGTCCCAAGTTAACACCTCCAGGCGTCTCGTTTTCACTATGTCTTGCCTTCTTTTAAGAGGTCTCGTCTGTTTTGGGTTCCACTTGGGGAAACCTTTAATATTGTAATCCCTCGGTTTCTACAGAACAATTTTTTTAATGGTAATCACAAGCGGTTATAATACTTAACGTTTGATCGGAAACTAACATGAACAAAACTGACTCAACTTAGAGAGGTTAAAACTTTGTATTAAAACTACTTATAATGCGTTTCAAAGTTATTTTGAAAATAGCGACAGATTTTGAAGAATTTTTAATAACAGAACCTGATTTATCTCTATTCGGCCTTCAACTGAGCTATCTAATGTTGATCGAGAGAAGCATAGACGCAAATCTCATCGTGTATGTAGACGTGATCGTGAACCAAGTAGAATACCAATACGAAGTTTGAAAAGGTTAAAGAACAAGAGCAGAAAGGTTAGAAAATTTGTCTATGCCCGTATTCTCTCATTTATCCCCATGCCATCTACATAGTACTGTTATGTTAATGCTAAAAAATCTCAAATAAGAAGACATTTAAGTTTAACTGTCGTGAAAGAACTCGACAAAGTATAAGAAAGGTAAAATATTGTGCCAGTCGATATTTAACACTGTTTTCTTTAACAGACTGGTGTGTTCTTGCAAGAATGGGGCTCGTGTAACAAATTATTGCAACTATAGATTAAGTAGAGGCAGAAAAAAATCCTGGTCCTCTAACATATGTTGGCCCCAACAAAACAATAGCAGCTCCATATAGTCAAGCTAACAAGTTAGTTTTTGGACAGAATGCAAGACAACAATGTGTTGCAATGAGTTTGTGCTCTTTGATTTACAATAACATGCAAGGGATCAGCTCTGCAAATTATCTTATAAAAATGATGAATATTGAAAATCAACTCTATTAAAGTTTGTTACGATTATCAAGTCAATACTCAAAAAAAGAAGAAAAAAAATGAAAATAGTGTCCAGTAATAAGTATTGAAATAGGAGCCAATTATGTATGACACTACCTCCCCTCACCCCACCTCAGAAAAGGGTCTCTTCACACTGCATAACAAATGCTGTTTTCAGCTCTGTATACATATGTGAGAAACCTGCATCTCTGGCATACCAAGAGAAAAAAACAATTACAGGATAAACCAATAATTGCATTAAAAAAAACTTAAGTAAGTGCAAGCACAAAAAACAAAGTTTATTTCCAACAGAAAGCCCGGGTGAACGCAAATAGGCGTCTAGTTTTTTTAACAGTCGAAATTTTTTGACTTTGGTATTAAAATATATCAATTTCCATGGATTTTATTATTTATTTATCCCACAGCTTTCGCAAGAAAACATTGCCAAAGTAGCCGATGTCGGTGTTTCTAAAGAAGCCAAAGCGATCACGGGTACTATGGCGGGAACTCCTTTGTATCTCGCTCCTGAAGTGATCAAGTCCTCTTTGTACGATTACAAAGCAGACATCTACAGCTTCGGTATAATGCTCTGGGAGATGTGGTATGGTGACAGAGCCCTTCTTGATGTGATAGGAAATATGCAGGAGTTCTTTGAAAAAGTGGGTGAGGGCGTAAGACCTACGCATGTCCGAGGCTCAAAAAAGCCTCCAGCTGGTTTGCGTGATCTGATGCAGCGTTGCTGGGACGAAAAACCTGATAATCGACCAGATGCGAGAGAGTGTTATGAGAAGTTGACTAAGCTCTATCAGGAATTTGGCGCACCGTCTTCGTAAACACTGGTTATTAGGCAACCACCTTGAACTTGTTTACTTTTCAAGTGTAGACTGTTTTGGAGCAACAGTGATTTAGAGTGTTTTAAGATATCCCATATGACTGTTGTAACAAATAGACTAGTCACACCCGCGCCAATTTTCTCGTTTCAAACTTAGTTCGTACATCATAGAAACCTATTCTGGACTTAATCAGTGCTGGTGCTAAGGACTTCTATCGAGACCAGTGTCATTTTGGATGATTCCGAAAGGCCTAATTAAGCGCACAGGTGTAGGTGGCTCCTCTGTTGCTTTGTTTGTCAGAGGATCTTTTGTTACAGTACAGGGTTGTCAGCCCACTGCCCTTCCCTAAACCTAAAATTGGCTTCGTTAGGCATGAAAATTAAAGTAAGAAGCGTATGAAATACAAAGATACTTACGCAGTGAGTTGACGGAATGTAGGAGTGGTGTATGGTAGGTCTCTCACTATTCTTATGCCTTGGTAGTCTTTAGACCCTGCAAGCGAAAAAGAGACTTGAGAAAGTCTTAATCAAGAAAGAGAGAGAGAGAGAGAGGGAGGCGACCGTACTCTCATGTAAAAAAGGCATAGTCAAGTCATATTGTCATAGTATCGTTAGCTGGTACAAACATAAAAGAGTGTCAATGATTTAGTAGATTTCTTTTAATGAGAGCTGGTTATCATGTGTATTAATCTCCTTAAGTCTTATTTTTTGGGGGCTTTTGTCAATTAGTTGACGTGTTACTATTTTGAAAGAGGAAAAAAAAGAATATTTGGAAGGCAAATATTGTTCTTTCAGCTTGTTTAAAAGCTTTTTGTCGGATTTTAGACTAGTTTCACCATCTGGTGTAAGACACTTGTGATCGTTAACTCTTTGAAGATTTCGAATAGAGCATTCTGTTTTTTAAGTATTAAGATTAAATATGATGCAGGAAGGTCAGATATCACATATCTAAGTCTAAAGAAATCACAGAGATGGAGTTGTAAGCTCAAAAAGGGTCAAATGACGTGAGAAGAAGTTCCCTTGGAAGGAATTTCAATACTCAGCAGCGTACATTTTCATGACGGAATCGTGTGATTAAACTTGGGAGGAGAAAACAAACTCCCATCATTTCCCCTCAAAAATTGCTGAACGATGCATTTACGAAGATGATTAGACTTAATTGTTTCTTAAGATTGTAAACTGTGAAGGTCAAATAAAGTCTGGATCCAGGTTTTTCAGCCATCGATCTTCCAACACTTTCTACATATGCTGACACAGCGGCGAAATGAGCGCGTATGGCTCGAGTAGCAAAACATGCCCTCTCATTTTGCCACCGTGCTCCTCCCCCTCATTAATAGTCAATTTTCTATTGTCCCACTTTAAGCTCTTTTAGACGCGACTGATCCCTCCCCTTGCCCCTGAAAACCATGTGTTCCCCCCCAACAAAATAAAATCCCTCGACCCCTCCCCACAGGTGATAAATAATGACTTTTTCCGTGATGAAACTGTATTCCTAATATAACAAAGATTTCCATTTTTTCATCTGCAAATAACAATGGACAAACACCAACGAAACTCGTCGTAATTTAGCTCAACATTACGTTATTACATATAGACTATATACAAAACAGTGAATGTCTTGAATAAGCAACAGTTCAGGTACTTCATTGTGATGCTCATGTATTTGCTGTTCTCCCACAAATGAATTTCCATCACTCAATCCAGTCCAGTTCAGTTCATTGGGTGATGGAGCTCTTTTGCATCGAGATAAGATGTAACTTCTCCCAATAATATCCATACATTATCCAGCAATGAGGTAATGAGAACACTCAAACTCATCAGGTAGAAGTTTTTTATTTGATCTAACACCAATTTCTTGCAACTAATTCACATGGAAATGTGTAACAGCTAAAGGGGAGAATTAACAATCAGATTTTGGGAGTTAAAGGGTTAAACAAATTTTAGCCATTGCTCGGCAAAACCGCGTTCTGGATTATCTTTAAGAATCTTTTTCAGCTGTGTGATCTTTGCAAAATAAGCAAGCATCTCTTGGAAGAAGTCCTCTTGTCAGCCGAAATTTCTTATTTACAAAAAACTGAGCTCTTATATGACTTCGGAAAAAAAATTAAATTGGCTAGTTATGGTTAAATATTTTGCTTAGGATTGTATCCACAACGTGTTCACATAACTTGTGAATCTTTTTTGAAAGCTTATTGCACAATTGCAATGTATGTAGTACCGTCCGAATTTAGTGATGATGACAGCAGTTATTATTACATATAATGTATTTATATCTCTAGCATTGTATCAGTTTATTAATTAATGGAAGATTTAAATCACTGGCATAAATTTATCTTATAGCCTGTTCTCAAGTAAATTCAAAAATCTGTTCGGGCTATCATTGAACGCAATATCTGTTTAGTAACCATTTCATTTACTAGGTGCACGAAAGAAATACATTTCACACAACAAATACAAACTTTTGCAATTCTAAGAGATCAAGTCTTCAAGTTTCCATTGCGCACAACGGAAAGCCTTAATCACTTTGTTTTTAGAGAACATTTCCCTTAGAAACATAAAAAAGTTACAAAACAGTCGTATACCTAGTATCATCGTAATGAACAAGAACTCATCTTAAATCACCGACAATTCTATACATAACTGATTGATATTTTTCTTTCTCATCCCCATCGTCATCTACCTTATCGCAATAATCGTCAAAATCATCACTATCTGATTGTTTACATACTTTGCTTAATTTTTTGGAGAACCACACAACACGGTGAGGTCTGCGAGGTCTGCCTTTGCACTTATAAATCCCAAGTAACATAATCTTGATCTAAACTCACCCATTGAAATCATGTGAAAAAAGTTCACTTCTATATTTATTTGACTGTCTCTACTCACTGCATCTTCATCGTACAACTCCGTAAGCCCCCTTCAGAAGCTAACGAGACTAATGGTGTTTATTTTTATAGGGTAAAGAGAATATATTTTATGTAATCTTGTCTACTGTAATTCTAGAGAGACTTCAAAATTCTCCTTGGTATAATATATATATACATTCATTACTATTATTCTCAAAATCGTTCAGAGATTCTCTTCAAATTATCAGAGTTCAAATGGGTGGAGCTGTGTCCCGGTAGAGCATGGCCAACTTCTGATGACATGCTAGGGCATCTGGTCGTTTGTCTACTTCTTCATCCAAGCAAACCTGCAATAGATCTTGCCATTCAGGCGGGGGTTTCTTCCTGTCTTAGTCGACTTAAGTTTGCCTGTTACGTTCAGCATTCTGACCACTAACCACTTTAGCGTCTCCCTCTTTATCTGTAAGGGCTCTCTTCCCATACCACATCTGCTAGGGCATTATACCAAAGCTGTAGATATCAGCCTTGCTATCGTAAAACCCTTATCTGATCACTTCTGAGGCAATGTAAAAAGTTTCCTTCATGTTCCTGTGGTCATCTTGGCTTCTCTAGAAACATTGAGATTAGTGACCCTGGCATCATCTTCATGTTTCAGCTCTGAAATAATGCATATAACAAAAGACAGAAGTAGAAGACTCTTTTAAGCTTACTGGAAAGCTTCATTTGTACTTCTTTTCTGTTAAGTCTGCGGCGGTTCTCGCTTCCATGCAGTATAAATGTAAGAGCTAGAGAATGTTTGGGCTTTTTTATCACATGCCCCTCTGAAATATGATAAAATTTGGACTATTTTGAACAAAAGGTGGCCTTTTCTGCATAACTATCTGCATAAATTCAAGCAGTGAATTTAAAAGTGATGATTTATCTCCCTCCTTCTCCTACTTAATATCGCAAAATTAAAGACGCAAAGTAGGCAAAAGGGGGCCATTCCCATCTTCATTCGTGTGTCATTTTTCGTACTTACCATGATGTTTTCCAACTTAAAATCTCTGTGAACAATGTCCTGGCTGTGTATGAACTCGAGAGCATTGGCGATGTCTCTCGCCCATCGAATTACATCTCTCGCGGCACCAGATGTTGAGGACAGGTATATAGTCCTGATTCTGGAAAGTGCTTCCCATCAAGTTTTCTTTGCAGAGTTCCATCACGAAAGTTACTCTCAGCCGATCTTCTTTTCTAATCTGTGCAGCACCACAGAACTTAACGTTGAATGGATGATTCAGCTTCCTAAAAAAAATGAGATTCATGAATTACCTTTTAGCTGGTGTCTTTGAAACAATATCACTCTTTGTTTCATCAGTTAATTGTTGCCACCCTATGATTTCATTATGTTGTTATATTTTTACATTTTGTTTTCATTGTTTCAATTCTTCTTTCAAAAATTGTAAACCATCAAAAAACGTGAAGCCCAAAAAATTACTTTTTGGTGAATGTTTTAATAAAAGAGAAAACAAAACAAAACAAAACAAAAAGGCTTTAAGACAATTGAAACAAGCAAATAAACAAAGGGCTAGAAAGAGATAACAAAAACCAGTGCGGAAGACATGAAAACTGCATTAAGGAAACCAACCTCAGTGTCTCTCTTTCGGAAAGAAAGTCACTTGCATCAAAGTTTTCAAGTTCATCATTCCACACTTTCACAGCTACTTGAACGAGTTCACCTTATCGCGTCTTTAATGTCCCTCCATGGCCATTGTTAAGTGCGTCACTACCGAAAGGTGAAATTCGATCGTCCCTCAATTCTAGATCGTCGCAACTGATGTCCATGATGGATACTTCCTGAATGCCAAAAACGGCCATTTTTCTCCCTAGTTGAAAACTTTTTCCATTTATCGGTCTGTAGACATCTAGTTCTTTCTGTGAGCTGTTGTCATTTGTCAGTTTCTGGCAAAATATTTTGTCAGCCTTGATGAGCTCGGGAATGCGATTTGCAACCTTCTCGAGACAGACTCTAGCCTCGTTAAGCTGTTCGACCACAAGAGACTTCAGATTCTGCTCTTTAGCCGCTTAAAAAAGGTATTCTAAAGAAGCTTTTTCCATGAAGCTACATTTTTTGTTTTCGCACTTTCTTATTTTATTCCAATTTTCTAACTTTTCTTTCATAGTCATAACCCCGACCACTGGAACACAGAGTACGAAGGCAACCACGCCAATTGGAATCCAAATAGGACTTGTGACCCCTATTACTACTTTGCTAGCCACAGAGAATTTCTTTCAAGAGAGGCAGTCATTTGATAGAACAGGCACATCATCTGCTATGGAGAAGCTCTCCAGGCTTTCAAGTTGTTCCACGACATAGCTGTATCGCTGTTGAAAGCGCTGGATCAAAGAGTCACGAGCGCCGGAAAAGACATGTTCCTCCCACGCTTCAATAAAGTTCTAAAGTCGCTTGGTTAATGCTCCTTGAATGTAAAATTTGGTCACTTCCCATTTCTCCATCGCCCGTACAGCATCAACCAATGTCCATGAAGTGAATTTTTGCACACTATCTGGAGACGTGAGGTACTTGGACAGTGAGGTGACAGCGCAAAAGATCTTCAGTGGAACATTGTTAACAGGAGACTGGAAATTCAGCAAAAATTACCATTATGATGGTTCCTTTATCAATTGATATCCTCTATTCGTCATTGTATGGTCTAATCAATGTAGCTATGATCTCTCTTTCTCTTTCTCTTTCTCTTTCTCTCTTGTTAATCTTTAAGCCGCCCTTCAGAAATAGTACTCCAATGTCAACATACCGTGTCAGACCCTGCTTTTCTTAAACTTTTTGAAGGCAGAGCATACAATCAGAAATAAATTGTATAAATGGGGTACATCCACAGGGAAACTTTTGTTGCCTATTCCCAAGTTGAATTGAAATTTGCAGGTTTTATAGTGGGCTCTCAAACAAACAAATACGTTAAGCCGCAGACAATTTTCTTGTAGCATTTCTAACAATGCCACATATATGTGTTCACGCGACCGACTAATTGATTATCACTGTCACCTCATTTTTTGGCATCGTACAGCCAGATGGCGGTAATTATATCACGCCTCTTACCCTGTCTCGTTGTATTCCACCGGCGTTTGATTTATTGATAACGTAGATAAATAGGAGAGCCCCTGGAAGGTATGCTTTTACCATGTCATATGTAATAGCAGATTCGCCGATGCCAGGGTTGTCAACTATGACGATTCCTTCCTGAAAGATTCAAAAATCCAGGATATGTGACTCTCACATAAAAGCTCGCTTTCTAAATTATCCTTAGCAACCATTACCCAAGACCTCGGTCATCAGTATATGCGGTAGGTAATCTTCTGCTTTTGTT